CACACACACACACACACACACACACACACACACACACACACACACACCCCAAAATTATAAAATCAAGTATGACTCCAAAGGAGAGATAATGAGAAGACACTCCCAACCCACCCTTTTGTGGAATTGGGAGGTCCACAGGTGCTGCACATTGCACATGTTTTTGGACCTTTCCAGCTATTGATCACTTTTGCTGATTTTTTCCCCTCTTCTTTCTCTTTTTTTGGTCTTTAAAAAAAATAGTATGGAATGGGATGACTGTCTAGGAGGGGAAGAGGAGGAATACTGGGGAAAACTATGAAGATTAAAAAAAACTTTTAAAAAAGAAACTATATCTATGCACATAGATATTATACATGGCAATATTAATAATTAAGAACTTTCTTCCCTTGTTAGGATCTTTGTGTATTACAAGTTTACTTTACTTCTCCATTTAGAGCCTGAGTTAGTGTTCATATATAGAATTCCAAGGGAGAAAACCATAAGCACCTCCTATAAGGTCACTGATACTCCCTTGAGTGATCAACCCAAAACCATCCTCCTGGTTCTGTCTGGGAAGATTTAAAATTGATTATCCTGTATACCTATGCAGTTTTAATTGCTTCTTGTTTTCTTTTACTTTCATACCTAAAACTAGCCAAGGGGGTTTCCTCAATTATCACTTATTATCACTTCACAGATTAGTGTCCACCTGGGCCTAAACATCCTCATACCACATGGGACCATAGATAAAATCCTCCACACCTGCCTTTTTAATTATGAATAAACTGATAACTTTTCCAAACTCATATTCTCAATCCCCTCACCCAATTACCGTGCTCAAAGATATCAAAGCATAGATGTGGAAGTGGAGGTAATAGATACTTCTTGTTCCTCTGAAGGCCCCAATGAAGAAGGAACATCTCTATGTACCAGAAATGGGACTTTGCTTCACCAAAAGGAAAAGCTTGGAAGACATTTCTGAGGAAGCTGCTACTTGGTTACCCCAAACTGGACAGATCTAGAGAACTAACGTACACCACTCCTATGTCTGGCCAACTATAAGATCCTCTAATAGATCTCTTTGGGACACAAGTTTTGTGCATGGGTTTTCTCCTTTTAAACAATCTGACGCAGACACTGGGTTATCACATAATCATTCATTTATAGAGGCATTTGTTGCCAAAAGTAGGAAGTGAAATGGGCAGAAAAAACTGGTAATGTTTCCCTCTCATTTTAAAACTCCTTGAACACAAAGAGCTCTTATTCCAACTGTAGCAGTGAGTGGTCCTTATTTGGGGTCTGAATTCCAGTTTTACATTTACGACTTGGGAGACCTTGGGACAAGTCACTTTCTGGGCCTCAGTTTCCTCATTTATTAAAAAAAATTAGAGTTGTTCTATCTCAGAGGTGTCAAACTTGCAGGTGCAACCAGATAGAAATGTAAGTGGAAAATGTTTGACAAAATCAAAACACAACATAGATAATTTGTGGTTTTCTAAGTCAATATGTGACAATCTGTTTCTACATGAGTTTGATGCCTCTGTTCTAGATGACTTCTAAGGTCCTTTCCAACTCTAAATCTATGAATCTATGAATAACTAATGGGGCAAGCTTCTCAAGGAGATGAGATGGGATAAAAATCAGAAGATGGGCTAGTCTTGCCAACCAGAAGAGCCATCTCTTCCTCAGACACTAGAGCCAAGACAGAAAAGATAGGAGATACTGGAGAGATTTTGAGGGTTAGGGTATGGCAGAAGCAGATCGGAACAGATATACTTTATAAGCACAGAAAGCAGGTCAAACTCTACAAGAAACAGAACAGACAAATGGTAACCAACTCCATCACTTCAGCCTTGAGAAAGACAGGAGAATTATTTTCTTCCTTTTTCTTATTTTCCATTTAGGCATTGGTTTCAATGTTGTTTCAGTATTTGAGGTTGAACTCAAACAAGAGAATGACAAGAAAAGAGACAAGAAGGGTGATGTGGAACTACACATTCCTTTGAAAATAAGACTAAAACTTTTTCATCTCATCTATGCCTTTTGGTTAAGAACCGGCCCCTCTTCCTGACTTTTGCCCATCATGCAGACCCAGTCTTAGAAGGCCACAATTCTGCCACATCTCTCTCAACTCCAATCAGCCTCTATTAATTCAAATATGTAGAAATGCTTGCGTGTACTATTAGCTTCACTTGGGACATCACAGGACTTACCCTTGGTGTGTACTCTGAAGTGAGTGGCAAGTTTAGATTTATAAATGAAGCCCTTGCCACACTCTCCACAAGAGAATGGCCTCTCAGGCTTGTGAATGCGTTGATGCCTAAGGAGATGTCCCTTTTGTCGGAAATTCTTGTCACATTCAGGGCAACGGAAAGGTCTCTCCCCTGTGTGGAGGCCCTGATGGCTAAGCAGCTGCCCTTTCAGGCGGAAGGTCTTATCACATTTAGGGCATTGGAAGGGCTTCTCCCCTGTGTGTGTTCGAATGTGTTCAATGAGTTTAGACTGTTTAGTGAAGCCTTTACCACAAGTACAGGAGAATGGCCTCTCCCTACTGTGTAAGCGCAAGTGGGCCTTCATATCAGCCTTTACACGGTAACTCTTATCACACTCAGGGCACTGGAAGGGTCTTTCCCCTGTGTGTAGGCGCTGGTGGCTGAGCAGCTGCCCTTTTAGGCGGAAGTTCTTTCCACATTCCTGACACCAGAAAGGCTTCTCCCCACTGTGCACTCTCCTGTGTTCAGTGAGCTTTGATTGCTTGCTAAAGCTCTTGCCACACTCACTACAAGAGAATGGCTTTTCTCCTCTGTGTATACATTGGTGGGCCTTCAAGATGCCCTTGAGACGAAAGCTCTTATTACATTCGGTGCATTGGAACGGCTTCTCCCCACTATGCAGCCTGAAGTGCTCAGTGAGTTTGCTCTGGTGGGCGAAGTCCTTGTCACACTCGCTGCAGGAGAAAGACCTCTCCCTACAGTGTGCACGCTGATGAGCCTTCATGTCACCTTTCAGGCAGAAGGTCTTCTCACAGTGAGGACATGGAACAGGCATCTGCCCTGTGTGTCGGCGCTGGTGCCTCAGCAGCTGCCCCTTTTGGCGGAAGCTCCTGTCACACTCCAGACATTGGAATGGTTTTTCCCCACTGTGTACTCTCATATGTTCTGTGAGCTTACACTGCTTGGTGAAACCCTTGCCACACTTCCTGCAAAAGAACGGCCTCTCCCCAGTATGCACTCGCTGGTGCACCTTCAGCATGCCCTTCAGCCGAAAACTCTTCTCACATTTAAGACACTGGAATGGCTTCTCTCCTGTATGTACTCTGAAGTGGTTGGTAAGCTTAGACTTTACTAGGAAGCCCTTGCCACACTCACTGCAAGAGAATGGCCTGTCCCTACTGTGTGCACGCTGGTGAGCTTTCATGTCGCCTTTCATGTGGAAGCTCTTGTTACACTCAGGACATTGGAATGGCTTCTCCCCACTGTGCACTCTCATATGGCTGGTGAGTTTAGACTTCTCAGCAAAGCCCTTCCCACATTCTCCACAAGAGAACGGCCTCTCCCCACGGTGCTGACAACGCTGATGGGCCCTCATGTTGCTTCTCTGGCGGAAGCTCTTATCGCACTCGGGACAATGGAATGGTCTTTCTCCATTGTGCATAAGTTGGTGGTTAATCAGACTTCTCTTATGGCGATATGTCTTTTCACACTTGGGGCACTGGAAGGGCCTCTTCTCTGTGTGCACAATTAAGTGTCTAAGCAAATACTGCTTTAGACGAAAACTCTTGTTGCACTCGCTGCATTGGAAGCACCTCTGCTCCCAACAAAGCCTAGGCTGCCAATGGAGACTGGATCGCCTCCTGGTTTTCCTTCTAGTCTTTGAGTATTTCTGTGGCTGTATCTTCCCATGCAGTCTCTGGTGTTTTACCCACTGGGTCTCTGACAAGAACATTTTTCCACAGACAGAGCAGGGGTGGAGCCATATTTCCTGGCAATCAGAGGGATTCTGGGGTTTGTGACCCGGACTTCTCTCACAGTAAGCCGATCCCAAGGTGCTGTGCCCTTTTGGAATTAGATGCCATGTGTCTTTGCTACATGAGTTTCTTAAGGACGCTTCTTGATCAGACATAGCAGAAACCTCTTCCTTTGTGCCTTGTAAGGCCTCACAAGAACCCCAAATTTGTAGGGTACCTAAAAAGCCTTCCACTTCTCTTGGATGCACAGATCTGTGATGTCCTAGAATTAAAATCAAAGATCAAAAAACATTTATATTTATCAACAAGCATTTACCTAGGTCCCACTATGTACCAGGTATTATGCCAGGGATATAAAGACAAAAATGAAACAGTCCCTGCCCTCAAAGAGATTACTTTAACAGAGGATTAGGGGTACACAAACAGGTGAGCCCTGCTCTTCTGTGTGAGCCTGGACCATTTCTGGTGGGCTATATGGACTCTGGCTCAGTGCTAGAAAACCATGTACTTTTGAGATAAAGAAGCAATAATTCCCCTCATTGGCCACTGAGCCAGGAACAGTCAAATACCCAGTAGACGTTAAAAAGAAAGAAACTTCTACCCTTACTCTGTTCCCTCTCTCTTGAATGGGAGACAGTGAGCTCTCTTTCTGGGACTTCCTATGGGAGTGTCTCTTTCTTCCCATGCCTCCCAATATATACGATTGTTGTTTCTAAGGAAATGAGCACATGTGCTACCTAAATGAGTCAGAATCTATGCCTTGGGGTTTTGGTTGGTTCTTCTGCTATTATTCTTATCCTAAGCATAGATGATTGAATAGCAATCTTGGGATGGGCATTTCCAGGCTTGAAGGGAACCTCATGGAACCAACACCCCCCCCCCCCCCCCCCCCCCCCCCCGTCCCAATAACTACTACAACTTTTTTGACCACTGACAGGAAGATAAGACTGGCTTGGCTTGTCAGAAGACATGGAATCTTTTTGTCTTTTTTAATGCTTTTTTAAGCATTTTGGGGGTAGGGGTGTGGGGAGGGGAGTATGGGGTGGAACATGGGATACACAAAGAGCTGTCCTACCCCTGAACAACAAAATATACTGAATAATTTTCTAGTCTCATTTTGGGGAGAGATGAGGAGACCCTACACATGAGCAAAACCTAAGCTTTAAGTGACTTTTCTTTTCTTTTTTTTCTGGGAGGCAACTGGGGTTAAGTGACTTGCCCAGGGTCACACAGCTAGTACGTGTCAAGTGTTTGGTCTGAGGCTGGATTTGAACTCAGGTCCTCCTGACTTCAGGGCCGGTGCTCTATCCACTGTGCCACCTAGCTGCCCCCTTTAAGTGACTTTTCTCTGGGGTCAAGGAGTCTAAAGAGCCAGAGACAATGAGAAAAAAGACTGATCATTCTCTTTAGAAGAGCCTCCTCAGGACTGAATCTAGTCTGTGCATAAGCCCAGTGCAAATCTGATTATTGCTTCTTTATCTCAAAAGTACATGGTTTTCTAGCACTAAGCCAGAGTCCATTTCCTGGCTCAGCTTAACCCAAAAGAAAAGGGATACTTAAGGAATGGAACAAGGAAAATCTAACCACATCATCTTAAGTTGCATGGTCCTTCCTTATCACTTACCCCCAAACAGCTGTTCTTCAGGGCTTAAGTCATTGGAACTGAAGGCAGTTTTTGTTTCCTGTGAATCCTTCAGATTTCTGATGAAAGGTTCTTCCCCCAGTTCAATTAAAGATATCAAATCTGGTTTGGAAATTGAATAGTCTGCACAGAGAGGCCACAGAGAGGCAGTTTAGTTTCTTTGGTACTCAATTTAAACATATGTTCAATGGTTCATAAAGTTCCCTCATTTCATCAGAAGAACAAAGCAAGGAAATAGATGTGAAAAAAAAAAATGAGGCCTTGGAAATACCACAAAAAGGAATAAAAGTCTATATGCCTGAACAATGATGCCTCAACTTGGTATATATCCATTTAAAAAAAATTTTTTTAACTACACCTCAGAAGGTGTTGCATTGTTTAATAAATTTGATTACACACGTTTTTGTTTTCAGAATTTTAAAAATATCCTGAGTTAGAGATGCCATTTTTTAAAATGAGAGCTACAAATAAGTATTTTTAAATTTTTATTATTTATTTATTATTATGATTTTTTTTTAAGTGAGGCAACTGAGGTTAAGTGACTTGCCCAGAGTTACACTGCTAGGAAGTATTATGGGTCTGAGGCCCGATTTGAACTCAGGTCTTCCTGACTCCAGGGCCAGTGCTCTATCTACTGCATCACCAAGCTACAAATAAGTATGTTAAGAGAATGCAAAACATCTGGCTCTCACAGAAATATTCTCTACGATATTTCTGATGACAAAAGCATCACTGAGTCCAACAGACTTGACTGTGAATCCTGTGGCTAACAGTCCAAGTTAAAAGTAAAGAAGATGACTAGGACAATGGATTAAAGCACCAAACATCAGAGGTGGTGGCTGGACAAAGAGAATCTGCTGAGTTAGAAGTCAGAATGGATCATATTCCCTTCTTAGTTGGCTGGAAGCTCAATTCTATATTGAAACTGCTCTCATGAAAGTCAGCAATAACTTGTCAATCTCTATTTCTACCCCCAGGATCCTACCCCAGTCCAGTCCTCTATTTTCAAATGCCTACAAAATATCTCCAATGACAAATTATGTTGTCATTTCACGTTCACTACGTTTAAAGAGAAACTCATTATCTTTGCTACCACTCTTTATCACCCCTGGTTCACGTAGCTCCCTTCATGTTTTTCATCAATAACATGCCAAATTAAACATCTGGGGTAGTCATTGACTCCTTCCTTTCCTGAAACCACAACGTCTAGTCGGCTACTGAATTCTTTTAATTTTCTTCTTTAATGTCTCTTGGATTAGAATCTTTCTTTGCATTCCTACTGCTACCATGGTTTAGCCATGATGTTATCATTGATGCTTCAATTGCTATCCTTCTTACCTTTCCTCCTCTAATCCAACAATCACACCAAAGCAAAACACTATTCTTATCATATGCTCTTCTAAAATTTAAGAATTTGGAAAGCCTCCCTATTGCTTGTTAGGTTAAGTGATAACTTTTCAAGTGAGCATTTGAGGCTCTTAATAAATCAAACTTACCTGACCTTAATAACTTATTTCCCATTATACCTCAATACTAATTTTCTTCTCCTGTCAGACCAATCTCTGTGCTGTACCGCAAATGTTACTTGTTCATGCCTACATTTTTGCTCATAACTCTTACTCCACTTCAAAATGTCTTCCCACATCCTCACCTACAATAATAATCATATTCCTTTTTGAAACCTCCATTATCTCAGCCATCATGAAGCCTTCTTCAATTAAGCCAACTGACAGGAAACTCTTTCTTAAGTGAATTTCTATAGAACTTCTAGCCACGTCACTTCTATCTCTCAGCCTCAGTTTCTCCATACGTAAAATGAAGAGGTTGGACTAAGTGACCTCTGGGATCCCTTCTGGCTCTAAATCTATGAACCAATACTATTAGATTGGATACTTCATTCTGTAATAATCTTATGTTGTCCTCTACCTTCTTCATTTGTATAAATATTATTTCTCAACTAGATTTTAAGTCACATGAAGATTTTTGCCTTATGCTCCTTCTGTATCACTCATAGTAAACAGAACTCAATTACTGACCTTAATTTTTTAACTTCATTTTTTCAATAAAAAAATCTATTTTCTCTCCCTTCCACTCTTTCCACCCCCCTGCCCCAACTGTAATCACTATGAATATTTTCCTGACTCTACTCATTTCACTGTGATATTTTATACAAGTCTTCCCAGGTCTCTCTAAATTCCTCATGTTCATATTTCAGACAGCACAATTTGTCCAACAATTCCTCAGTGGATAAGCATTCACATTCCAGTTTTTTGCTGTCACAAAAAGTGTAACTATGAATATTCTGCCAAACATAGAGTCCTTGTTTCACTTCCATGGGATATATAGGATAAATTAGATATAGGATAAAATTAGAATTTTGAGCAATAGTGGGATCACTGGATAAAAACAATGAATAGTTTAGTGACTTTTCTCATAAAATCCAAGTTATTTTCCTGAACAGCTGGACCAGTTTACATCTCCAGCAACCATTTATTAGTATGCTCGTCTTGCCGTAACTATTTCTGTATCTTGTCATCTGTGCCAATTTGATGCAAATATCTCACTTTACAGAGCAGTAATTAAGGCACAGAGAGAGATCTTAAGTGCTGGACCAAGGTTACACACGTTCTAAGTATTGGAGCCAGAACTGGAACCCAGGTCTTCTGACTCCAAATCCATTGTTCCTTTTACTAGATTATCTTGGGGCTTTATCACAAAATAAACACATAAATGTCACAGAAAGAATTATTGGTTATTAGAAATATGGGCATTCATAAAAAGTGAAATTAAAATGTCTCATCACATACTTTACTTTCCATTCCCATTGCTTATTATATGCTAGACCAGAGGTCAACAAACTTTGGTGGAAGGGCCTCAAGGTAAGAATTATTTTTACATTTTTAAATAAGGTTCTATTGTATTTTAAAATTTAAAAATCATTCTTAGCTCATGGGCCACACAGCTGACTGGATTTGGTCCTCTGCCTAGTTTGCCAACTGCTGGACTAGACAACTGCATACCCTATCGACTTCGCTTCTGTCTGTATTTCACAAACCACTTCAAGCCCACAGTGATATCTCCCTTCACTCAAATCCTGTAACATGTATTACTTCTACTATTCATTTTGTAATTATCTGTTCACTGTCTTGTCTCTGGAATGGAGGTATTGAACTATTGTTTCTCTCTTATACTGTCATTTAATAAGAAGCAAGATAAAGTATGGAGGAAAGAGTAGTGGATTTGTAGACAGGGAATCCAGATAGAGATTTGTGCTTTGTCACTAGTTGTATGATCCTGGGTAAGCAATTTAATGAAGGGTCATGTGAGACAAACATCATTTTCTTACATGTTTAATAGAAGTAAATCATAACAACAATAATTGTAAGAGCTAACATTTAAATAGCACTTGTTATATGCTAGGCACTATGCTAAGCACATAACAGTTATTATCTCATTTGATCCTCACAGCAATCCTGCAAGGTAGGCGCTATTATTATCCCCATTTTACAGATGAGGGAATTGAGGCAGACAGAGGATAAGTGATTTGCCCAGGGTCACACGGCTAGTAACTGTCTGTGACTGGATTTGAACTCAAGTCTTTCTCACTCCAGACCCAGCACTCTGTGCACTGTTCTACCTAGCTGCCCTAGAAAATGGAAAAAAAAAAGAATCTGAAAAGAGGTGCAGGGAGGTGACTAAGAATAGCATGTAGATGAGAGTAATACTTCCTTACTCCACAGAGGTGAGCCTTTTTTTTTTTTTTTTTTTACAAAATCTTGGAAGGTCCCTGCCACATACACTAAGCTAGTTTCTCTCTAAAAGGGCAAGGAAATTGTCCTGAAGACTTAACTGGTTCTAACTTAAGGTTCTAACTGTTAAGGCAGTGTTTCCAGTCATTCAAGGCATAAAGGCCAAGCGCACCAGGAGCTGGCACTCCAAAGACTCGGAAGACTCCTTCCTTTGTCACTGTGAGTTGACAGGCCCTTCTGAATACCATAGCTGGTAAATGAGGAGATGAGAAGGGTTTCGTCCACTGGACTACTATAACATCTTTGCTGAACATCCTTTCTGTGCTAAGTATGTCTTCTTTTCCGAAATGTTATTAAGCTTACAAGTGTCTTATTTCATTCCACTTCTGAGCCTGATCTACCAGGAGGGTCGAAGTCAGTCTGGCCTAGAATAAGCAACTTTGTTTTAACTGAACAAATTGTAGCCCCATAGCCTGTACAGAGATAGAGATAGAGACAGAAGGCTGAGTGGGCCCAGGCTACTGCAGCATGTAGAGAATACTGTACTAATAATATGATCTGAAATAATTTAGACATAATAACCATCCTAGCATGCCTAATGAATACAATTCCCAATTTCTACACATTCTGTCAACCTTGCATTATCATTGAATTCAATTCTCTTAAATTATGATAAAAGCTTAAGTACTTATTTATCAAAGCTTTAAAAAGTAGGTTAGTGAAAAACCATCTTTGTGGGGTAGATTTTTGAGCACTATCATCAGACAGCACACAGAAAACCTCTTTGGCCTCAACATATCTTCTATGATCTGATTCACAAACATTTAACAGGTTTAATTTAATTTACATAAACCTGTCTTACCAAGGGAGATCAGGGTCTCATAATTGGCTTTCATCACTTGCTTATAAAGCTCTTTCTGCCACTCAACAAGTTGCCTCCATTCTTGCTCTGAGAAATACATGGCTAAATCGTCAAATGTCATGGGTACCTGAAAACACAAGTGAAAAACATACATTAGTTTCAGCGATATTTTGCCCCTTATTTTAACTGCCAATTTTCAAAGGACATCCCCAAATATATTTTTTTTTCAAACAACAATACTGCAAAGGTGTACTTTTAGGACTTAATAAAGTTCCCATCAAAACTTCAAACATGACAGACCCCAAAATTCACAATTGACTTTGTTTTAAAAATTAGTTTACTATGAACTTAATTCTAATCTATAAGGAAGAGAGGATTGCATATGAAACTCTGAAATTCTGTTACTTCTATTATATAATTTTAAAGAAATGTATATTAAATTTAACACATTAGTAACAAAACTGCTCTACCTGTCTTTGTTCTCATCTGAACTTCCTTGTGCTCTCTTTTATGTTTTTTTTACCTTTTTTTTTGCCTTTAAATTTGTAGATTTAATTTTAAAAGACAGGAAAAAGATTTTTTTGTTGATGTGGAAGATCCCTGAGTCAACTGTCTGTAGTACATCTTGACCATCAACTAACCAGAACTAGTATCAAAATTTGTTTAAACACACAAACAACACAAAAACCAGGAATAATAATGAGAAAAAATGAGCATAATTTAAATGACTGAATCTTGAATTATTAAACTCATTACAAATAAAAAGTAGGAAATGAACAAAAAACTGATAGCATCAGTTTATATTCACATTAACATATATACACTATATATGTATATATAACATATAATAACATTAATTATAATAATTTCACTCAGAAGTCTAACCAACACAAACTAATTGCTACAACAAGGAGACCAAAGAAACACAGAAGAAGCCTTTGTTGGCAAACAACTGACTTTCTTGCTAGAGGGCTATGGCTGTCACAGGAAATATTAGGTCAGAAAACAAACTTGTCTATAAAATTTCATTGTAAAAGTAGGCCCAGGTAACGTAATTACATTAGTCCCAAGCACATAAATGAACAAAGGAATGAATGAATGAATGGTATAAACTAGGTGTGAATAAGTCTTTAACCAACTCGAGCCAATTATAGAGTTTCAGCAAAGAAAGATAGATGGTATCACACAGAAAATGGAAGGACTACAAACAGCAGAAAAATGGAAAAGATTTGCAAAAGTCATTTTGACAAACTGTTTTCTCAATTAAGGTTTAGTAGATCACTGCATTTGGGTCTTAACATCAGTTTTGAAGGTGCTGTGTGTAAGGATGTAAAAAATGGCACTAAGGAGAACAAAGACAGGAAAAGCTGCTAGAACAGATCAAATATACACAGAGGGGATATGTAGTGGAGATGAAATAGTTTCGAAGGTTTTAGGAGACCCTTATACAAGGTATCTAAAGGGAAGGATACCAAAGGTATGGAAAAAGTCTAAATACTGAAAAAAAGATGAATAATAATAACATTTAAAAGGCATTTACTATGTGCCAGTCAACATAAGTGCTTTACAAATATTATCTCATTTGATCCTCACAAGAACCCTGGGTATAGATGCTATTATTATGTTTTTTTTAACTTTCCCAGGGTCACACAGCTAGTGTCTGAGGCCAGATTTGAACTTCCTGATTCCAAGCCCAGTGCTCTGTCTGCTGGACTTTTAGTTGTAGAGAATAAAAGACCAAGTAACTATTAATCTAGTTTTCCATTTATACAAAATCTTTTTTAAAATTCAATTTTACTTTCAGTTCCAAATTCTCTCCTTACCTGCCCCACCTTGGGGCTTGGAATCAGGAAGTTCAAATCTACAAATGGATTGAAGTCATCCATGACAAGGATATTATTAGGAACATATGGGCTTTCTCAAGTGATATTCAACAATGGATCACATTTTTAAGAAATCTCGTAATTAAGAAAGGTGTAGAGAATATTAAGATTCCATTGAGCTTATTATTTGTTGTTTATGAAAACGCATTCCATTTGATAGAACGAAACACCTCTTTACAGACTCTCTCATAGGAAAATGTCTTTCATAAAGACATGAAGATCATTCAGGATTCCTTGGAAGATGTAACAATAGAAATATCCCTGTTCAGTGACCCTCTAATAACTAACATGAAGAGAGACATAAAATGAGGAGGTGAATGCTCACCAAAGATACCTGCTGCTGTGACAGAAGAGATGCAGTACAGAGTCCTGGTTGAGGAGGGATTGCCTGTGGATGGTGGTCCTCTAGAAGCTCCACTTTGTAGATGACATGATGATGACTGAATTAAGCCCCAGGCCATTACTAAGCCTCCTGGAAGAGATTTATAGTCACTCAAAGGAGCGTGGTCTGTATCACATAGGAAAGACTGTATCTGTTGGCCTGATTTCAACATGTATTTGGATGACAGAGAGAGAGAGAGAGAGAGAGAGAGAGAGAGAGAGAGAGAGAGAGAGAGAGAGAGAGATTGATTTTGTGTGTACCTAGGTAATGAGCTGGGCCCAGAATTGAAAGGGAGGGACAGAGTAGATAGGCTTGCTTTTGAGAAATAGCAAAGCCTCTTTGAGATCTGAGGTCAGTGTAAACTGACCTCAAGCTTCCCATGAAAAAAAAAAAGATGCATTTTCAATCCTAACATCTTGCCAATGTTGCCACATAGCAGTGAGAAGTAGAATACCCTGCCTCCAAATAACTAAAGATGAATATTACACAGATGGCAATGGAGAGGCATAGGGGCGTACGAGCAGGCCAAACATAAAACCAATGCAGAACTCTACAGAAGAACAAGAATAAAGGACATCATCAAGGAATTGTGTCAGAGGAAGAGAAGATGGGTTGGTCATGTGGCAAGAACTAGGGATGATTAATAGATAGTCACTGTGCTCCACTGGTACCCTCTTCATGTCAGGAAAAAGTTCAGAAAGCATCTAGTATGTTGGGTGAATCACCATGGCAAACTTTGAATTTAATTAATTAGAATTTAGAATTTAATTAAATTTAAAAATTTGCAAAGTACTTTATATCACCCATGAGATTCACACTGAGTTAGTTGCTATTATTAACTCCATTTTAAAGATGAAGAAATTGCACTTGAGAAGTTAAGTGACTCACCCATGGTTACATAACCAGTAAGTTACTGAGGCAGGATTTGAACTCGGGTCTTCCCAATTCCGTTTATCCACTATAGCAGAGGTGTCAAATTTGAAGTCTGCAAAACTCCCCACCAGGTTAGATGTAATTGGGAAATATTTAACAAATTTTTTTTAAACTACATAGATAATGTCAATCTGTGGTTTTCTAAGTCAGTGTGACATGTAGGGATTTGTTTCTATTTGAATTTGATACCACCAAACTACCTTACCTAGGTCGAGATGTACCTTGTTTTATATCCTGTACTGCTGACTTGTCTGTTATCATGTTTCCATTACAATCAACATACTTTTGCTATTCCCTACTTTTGGTTCTCTTTTTTCCTAATTTATGAATTGTTTTTTAAATTAAAAAGTAATTTTTCCATTTCTATTAATGTGAGAAACATGGAGGTGATTCCTACCTCTTCTCTGAGTTTTCATTTTCCAATGTGTCACACAGCGATTCCCCCACCCCTTGTTTAAAATCAAACTTGTGTTGAAGGAATGTCTAGGAAGGCCCTCTTCAATTCCTCTTGTATTTCTTTAACAAAGCATTAAATTCCTTGGAAAAAAGTAGCTCTTTGATAAGATGTGAACTTGCCTGGCTGTGGGTGTGTACTTTGTCTCTCTAATGCCAAAATAATGACTTATTTATTATTAGTCAGTTCATACTCCTGGGCCATGCATCCTTGGGTTTGGTCCTTCCTCGGGCCTCAAGTTTCCTCATCTGCAAAATGAGGCCGGACGACACGGCGTCTGAGGTCTCTTTCGCCTCTCTACCTATAATCCTATGGCACTGGAGCTGGAGTCAGACGTGGAGGCAAGACAGGAGTTTCAGGGAAGTGAGAGCCCTAGGGACTGCGTCGGGCGGAAGCAGCTGCAGGGCAGCAATGGGTTCCTAAGTCACCTGGGAAGCCTCGGGAATGAGAGCTGATGGCAGTGACTGAAACATGAGGGAAGCAGCAGCAGAGTTCCTGCACATGAGGAAACTAGAGAAGCAACAAGGGGCCATGTTGTGGAGCAAACCCAGACCTCGTCCTTCGTGGCACCACAAGGATTGTGAAAGGTAGGCGGAGATCCTGAAGAAAGGCAGTGGGTTGCTTGACTCCTCATCAACAACCCTAACTTCTCTCCCTGTGTGCAAGGGGCCTAAAGCCCAAGATGGTACAGGAGGCTGCAGCAAATGCACATGTCTCCAAGGGCCACAGCAGGGCCTGGCTTCACTCCACAGCAAACCCGAGTTCTTTCCTGGTTTTGAATACACGGCCTCAATCCTGGAAGACCACACAGAATACTGAAGATGTCTATCACGGAAAGAAGGAAAGTTACCAGAAAGTAATTCCTGTGGAGATGGGACCAGCTATTCCCACTAGTTGTCAACTGCTGCCTACAGGATAGGTAAGCTCACCTAGTAGAAAGACCAAGACATCCAGGAGAGCACACAAAAGGCAAGTAAAACTAGGAAGATCACCATCGCCATCACCACCTCCCCTCCAATTCTGACAGTGTTTATAAGGTAGAACCCTGAAACCAGGAGCTTTGGGAACAGCATTGCCCCCAGACCACCGATCCTGCCTCCAGCTCAGTACCCAAAGACGTCATCCCAGGAAACAACCACGATGGCGGTGGAGCCTGACAGACACCTATGCAGGCGCTGCAGCTCTCCCTTTTCAGCAGCCACACCTGATTAAAAGTTTTTACCACCAAAGTCCTTGATACCATCCAATGGTTCAACAGCAGAAATGAATGATTTTAACAGAAGTATTAAAGAAGATGCATGACCATATGATTTGCTGTTGCATCCTAAGGACCACTGGACCTTCCATGACTTACAGCTGAAACCACTTCTGAGTTGCTTCCTCCATTGGAATATGAGCTCCTTGAAAACAGGGATTATTTTGCTAATTCTATTTGTATCCCTAGCACCCAGCATGGTGCTTTGCACATAGTAAGCACTTAATAAAATGCCTTTTCACTCACTGACTCATCTTGTATGATCACAGAACCAGGTGTCCTTTGTGGGGTTTTTTGTTGGGTTAAATAAATCCTGTCCTTCACTGATGTTTTTTAACCTGAGCTCTTGCATGTAACCCTTTTCTTTTTACTGTGGAGATCACAACATGAGCCATAGGTTTATGCTCCATTAGGAAAACTAATAAGCCAAACTCCATCATTTCCGGAAAAAAACCTCATATGGGGACAGTCTGATTACTGAGAATTTCCAAAAAACTGAAGCCTGTCCACGTAATATCAGAGTTTTAGCTTTGTGATACAGATGTATAAGGATACAATGACGTTTTCAAATAATTTCATTTGGCTTGCCTGCTGCCTGGATTTCTGGGGATAAATTACAATTTATCTTCCTTTTCGCGTAAAAGAAGTATTTATTTCTTAATTTTTAAAACATAAGCACCGAAGATTAAAACTTTGTACATAATTCACGAAATGCCGTTAGTACTTTCTGTCCGAATTCGTTTATTTCATTTTTTTTTTTAGCGCCTGTTTTCACTATTTATTGTTATTACTTGAAGCAATGACTTTTTAAACTCAGAGACAGCGGAAAGAGCAATGGATTTGAAGTCAGAAGGCCTTGGGTTTGAGTCGGGGCTCCCCCACAGCTGCGTGACCTTGGCCAAATCACTCACTTCGCTCCCAGGTGGGCACATCTTTAGAAAGCCCCCTCCCAAGACTGTCAACGAGAGTGAATGCGGCCTGTCGTGATCGGCCCGAAGCAGCCCGGCTCCTGGGCCTCAGCGGCCTGAGCTCGGCTCGGCTGCTCCCTCGGCCGAGAGCAGCCCCTCCGGGCTCTCCGCCTCTTCTCCTCCGACCCTCTCCTCCCGGGGCCGGGCGCTCCCTCGGGTGCCACCTCCGTTCTCTAGGCAGCGAGCTGCTCGTAACCTTTAGCACCTCCGCAGAGATGGAACCAGGCGCCCCCCAATCCCGGCCCCTCCTCCACTCCCGTCCCCCGGTGAGCGGCTCGGAGTGGCGGGCGGCCCCGCGGCCGTCCATGTGCGACGGTGGGAAATCTCTCACCGGCGAAGGAGCCGCCTCGGCCATGGCACTTCGTCTGCTTCCCAGGCGCCGGAGAAAGCCGCTGGACAGGGCTCCGGGCCAGCCCTTCCCCTCCGGCTGCGCTCAGACCTCCAGCCGCCGCTCCGTTTGTCCCTCCGGGTCCGCGCCCCTCCAGCTCCACGAGCTCCCTCCCTCTCGCCCCCACAGCTGCAGTCCCGGAAAGTCGCGATGCATCCTGGGACCTCAGCTCCCGGCTCAACCGGAAGCCGCCTCTTCCTGGAGGCTGTTCACACAGCGCCGCCTCCGGGCGGGAAGAGTAAATGCGTATGTTTAGTTGGAGAGCTTCAGCCTTGCCTGGAGACGTTTTGGAGGGAGTAGGAGCCCGCAGAGGTTTCAAGTCAGGAATTATTATTTAGTTGACTGTCTGTCAGAGGTGCGGACCCTGCGGCCTCGAGTGGCCTTCTGGGTCCTTGGGTGCGGTCTTTTGACTGAGTCCAGGTTTTACAGAACAAATCCTTTTATTAATCTAGATTCTAGATTCAAGTGATGGAAAAATATTAATAATAAAGATTAAACCTATGTCCTGCCTTCTTAGAGACAAATGTGAAACATTTACCAGCACATCCCTGATTTATCACCAACTTTTCTGCATCAAAGGTCAATAAGACATGGTCTCAGTGGATTAAATGTATTAATATATCAAGTAGAAAGTCTTACAAAAGTAACAAAATGAAATAATATTTTGCAAATATAACAGTTCTGCTTAAAGACACAAATAATCTTTATTTTTAAAAAATACATCAAAATAGAAAATTCCACATCAAAATATATGTTAGCCAATGCAATATTGGCATCATTTTCAACACCTGTTGAAATTAATGGCACATTTGAAGAAATAACTTGCTACATAATTATTTATTTTTAATTGTTGCAAATATCTCTTGGCAAATCTCTGAGTAATGCATTTGGATTACCAAAAAATATTAATGATTAGTGGTGACTTTTCCCATTCCTCCAAGTTATTTTTTTTAAAGATCTCTCCCATAGCAGACTTCCTAACTCAGAGTGAGAGAATGAATTGACACATTTTAAGTTTGAAATTAGATGAGCAAGTTTTCATTAGAATGATTTTAGAACACTTATTCATTCAATAAACATTTACTAAATGCATACAATGTGTCAGGCACTGTGCTAAGCAGGGAACCTGAAGCGAAAGACTCTCCCTACCCTCAAGGAGCTTAAAATCTAATGGGGGACACATGTAAACAAATACATACAAAGCAAGCTATGTACAGGATAAATAGGAAATAATTAAAAGAACACACTCTTCATTAAAAAGATTTTACAAGTACAACAAAGTGTACTTGCAAAAAGGTTCCATATCTTCTTCAGGTAATTACATTAAAGACTTTCCCCAGGATTACTGATAGAAGCTATAAAGATGTATTCTTCAAAGGTCTAGATAATTCATACAATTAATATAGTATATTCCTATTACTGAGGTAGCTAGGTGACTCAGTGGATACAGGGTTGGGCTGGAGTCACTTCAAATTCAGCCTCAGACACTCACTAACTATGTGACCCTGGGCAAGTCACTTAATTTCTGTTTGTGGAGATCTATTGGAGAAGGAAATGGCAAACCACTCCAGTATCCTTGCCAAGAAAACCCCATTCAGGGTCACAAAGAGTCAGACATGACTGAACAACAACAAAAAATTCCTATTACATGATGCACCATTTCCAAATCTCAATAAACACAACAGTTCTTTTTGAATTGGTGAGTTCTTGCTTTGAGAAGAATAGGGGGTGACCTGGGGTTTTCCAAGGCCACACCAATGGAAGACAAATTAAATCTGGCAACTCCCATCACACTGGTAAGGCTTCTGGTGCAGGCAGGCAACCTGCATATATGTCATCAGAGCACCAGTCCAATTGAATTGAGAAACTCCACCAAGTTGGCTGCAGAGAGATGAATTCTTCAACCACAGCAATTCTTGAAGACCTTCCCTGCAGTAATAGAAGAGTTGTAAGCTCCAAAGGTGAAAGGAGTTACCCAAACTGATGGAATCCCTGATCCTTGAAGTATGGACTGTCATTCCAACTATCCTGCCAACAGGTCTGTTGCAACTTGGAACGGAGAAAATATAATCAAATAATGGTCAGTCTTATCATCTACCAAGATGAAGTTAGAGAACTCTTCTAAACCAATTGGAGTTCTCTCTCTTATCTCCATCTTTCATAATCTTCTCTCAAGACTCAGTACAGGTATCACTTCTTTCCCTGATCACTCAAGAATAAAGTGTTCTCTGCCTCAAATTTTCCTAGGGCCCTTTGTCTGGATCTTTTGCCCTTATTACCAATCACATTTATTCTAATTTTCTATTATACTTCTTCGTATATGCATCATATCCTTCCTAATATAATGTAAGCAGTTTGAGAGCAAGAAATGTCATTTAATTGACTTGAAAGCTTTTTGATCTTTGTAGTTAGATGAATATGTTATAATGAAGATGCAGTTTCACTTGTTTCTTGTCATAATATTTTGAGTTTGTAGAGTAAGAACATTTTCTACAATTTCTTCACTGTTCGTACAGATAGAAATTTAGATTCAAATACTGGGAATTAGTTAAAAAGGTACAACCTAAAAAATTTGAAATCCTTATTGGATCTTAACAAACCATAAATTAATATATAAGCAAGAGAAGTTGTATGATTGTAGTTCAACGGTATGATACATGATTACAGATTCCTTTACCATAAGATCCAACTTAACAGGGTTATCTTGTATAAGACATTTTTTTCTGTAACCATGGCCCAGAAGCAAAGCTCTGGGTTTACACTTGGCCTGGATTCAATATCGTTTATTTCTCTCAAATCACTCTTTGTAGTTCTTTTTTTCTCAATGGACAAGTGAACAAAAAGGACATAAATAGTGTGTTAAAAGAATAAACTATCAGTAACAACCTGAAAAAATGGTAAAAATCACTCATAATCAAAGAAATTCAACCTAAGGGGAATTACTTCACAACAGGCAAGCTAGAAGTACACTGTTGGTGGGTTGTGAATTGTTTTTACTTGTTTTAAGTTGAAAAACAATTTAGAATCATGCAAGGAAATAACTAAATTGTTCATATTGTTTAAATGGCTTATGGAAATAACTGGAGAATATATTTAAATTGTAACTGTGCAAGAAAACCTGGGATATATGGTTGTCATAGGTATAAGATAGTTCCTTCTATCCTATAAGAATTTACTATCTGTTTGGCAAGACAGGGAATAGGGACTTTTAAAAGGGGGAACAAACCATAGGGAGACTAAAATCTTTGTTAAATATCTAAAATATTGCCAAGCACTGAAGGGCTGGGAGGATAAAAAGTTTGACTAAGAAACATGGAGCCTGAGATCAAGTAGACAGATATGATACATACATGATTATCTGTAATACGAAAAAGAGATATAAAAGAGGCATGAGACATTCTAGGGGGGAAAAGTTCATTGTTGACTGGAGGCAGGTCACAGAGGAGTAGGTTCATTTAGAAATTGTCATTTAAGGAGGGATAGGATAGACATGGGCAGAGAGAAACAGAGAGGATATTCTAGACATAGGGAACGGCCTGAGCAAAAGCATTCAGGCAAGAAAGCCCACGCATACCCAGAGCTGTGCGGAATCTGTGTTGTCCAAAGCATGGAACATGGAGGTGAGGGGGGGCCACATTGTGGAAGGCTCTGAAATGCCAGGCTGAGGGTGTTAAACTTGATTCCACAGGCAATAGCTCGCCATCAAGCGTTTTGAAGAGAGTGACAGGCTCAGATGTTGGATAAGGAGGAAGATTCTTGTAGCACTGTCAAGGATGTATGGAAAAGGGAAAGGGCTGTTGAGAGTCTCTTTCAATAGTGTAGGAATAAGGCACTAAGTGCTTATATTAAGGTGGTGGCAGTGAGAATAAAAAAGAGGAGGCATACGGAAGAGACTGTGGAGGCACAAACCACAAGATCTGGTAAACGACTGAGTCAGGGAGAGGGCAGAGTCAAGACAATGCAATAGCTTCAAACACTGACACTGGATGAATGATAATGCCATTGATAGAAACAGTGAAATCAGAAGAGAAGCAGGTTTAGGTGAAAGATAATAGTTTAGCCCAGTTGCCTGAAATGTGGGTCTGAAGCTCAGGAGAGAAGTCACAATTAGATATATAGATTTGGGAAAGAGGGGAAGAGGGAGTAATTCAAACAATGGAAGTGAGTAAGATTGTTAAGACAGAGCAGATAGAGCAAGAGAACAGAAGTAGGCCGATAAAATAACTTTGGGAGAATATGAAAGATTCTCCTGTGTTTAGGAAGATTAAGAGAAGCCATGGCCTGGGATGAAAAAAATTATTAAATGTCCAGTCATGTGCAAGGCACCATGCTGTGTGCTGATAAACACAGAAATGAGAACTGGGCCTTTGATTTCACTGGTTTAGTGAACTTCCAGGTAGGAAAACACCCTATACCCATGCAGGGTGACATCTTCTCTGCAATTCATAGTCTCAAAGTACTGCTCAGAGCACAGACGTCAAACATGTTTGGCTAGCACTGCCAAGTAAATCACTATGTGGTTGAAAGGATCCTAATGTACAGACATGCTTCTGTTTCTATCTGAGTTTGATACTGGAGTACTAAGAAGGTCAGTGACTTGCATAGGGTCACACAGCTAACATGTATCAGTGGAAGGACTTGAATGCCAGCTGTCTATCCACTATATCTTACTGCCTCTAATGGTACAAACAAACCAAAAAAAAAAGAGTAAATAACACAGTCTTTTTCCTCAAAGAATTTACAGTATAATAGGAGAGTAAAAAGAAAAGGTTTAGCAAAAGAGCACTATAAAAATGAAGAGGGAGAACTAGGGGACAGGGGAAAATTTCAGAAAGGAGGTGGCACCTAAAAGGATGGAAATGAAGGTGGAAATCTACTCCAGACAGGAGGTCAATGTGAGCAAAAGCAAAATGAAAGCAAGGGGAAGGGCCTTTTCCAAGATGGTTGGAATGCAGGCTGTGTAAAGGAGACTAGCTTGATATCAGACTGCAAAGATGGCCATGCGATGTTCCAGGATGGACACAAAGCTCTAGTCCTCTGGTATAGTCACATTGTGGAGAATGTTGAATGCCAACAGGGAAGTTTGCACGTTATTTGATAGACAAAGGGAAGCAACTAAAGGTTTTTAAGGAGAGAAGTGATGAGAGCAGTACATTGGGACAGCCTGCACAGCTATGGGTTGTGTGTGTGTGTGTGTGTGTGTGTGTGTGTGTGTGTGTTGTTTCTTTTTTTTTTTACAGAAGGAAGGATTACTTAAGTTCTGCTCACACAATTCTAGTACCACATTACTGATTTCTTCCTGTCTGAATCTTGACCAGCATTCTCTTCTGATAATTCCTAATACTCCCTTTTTGGAAACCATATTTCAGCATCCTTCTGTCCCCAGCTAGATGTCCACCACAATAACTGGGCTTCAGTCAAGACTTCAAATGAGTTTAAAAGCACAGCTCCAACCAAAACCCTGCCTACAGATCCCCACTAGGAAGATTACATGGGCAATGATAAAAAGGATGGACTGGAGAGTAAAAGCAAAAAAGACCAGCTAGTAGGCCATTACAAAAGTTGAGGGGATGAGGTTCTAAAATAGGATTGTAGGAAAAGAGGGAAGAGATTTGAAATAATATACATGTTTGGCTGTAAGGGAGAAGGGAAAATAAAAAAATGAAATCTGAATATAAAGGAATGGTAAAGCCCCAAAGAATGCCATTTGCTATCATTTCCAGCTAAGAGACCAGAAATTGTTTTAGTGATCTCTGGAAGCAGAAAAAGAGAATGTAGTCAAAGGGAGTAAGAATATAGTATAAGAGGAAAAAGAAAAAAAATGTGGGTTTTGGGGGCTTTATTTCTCTAAGAAGTAATGACTATAGAATCTAATTTCCTTGTTGAACCAAGTTATGGGAGAAACCAAAAGAAGTAAAAATTTCTTCTGGAGGTAGATGAAATGATTCTATGGAGCCTTACGGAGAAGAAACCTCAATGAACATCAAATCCAGCTCCATGTTACACTTGGGAAAACTGAGGCCCAGAGGTTAAGTGATTCACTCAAGGTGGAAACAGGGACAAAAATGTTAGCTCTCTTAAAAAGGATCTTATACAGTCGCTTTATAAATGGGAAATATAATAAATCATAACAGAAAATAAATTATATAAATCATTAATAACCAGAAACTAAACTGGACCACAGTTCAAGAATCTTAACTATGAAAAGGATGTTATCAAATTAATTTTTTACAAATCAAAAAATCCCTTAGGAATCTACTTACCTCTGGGATTTTTATATGGAATTTCTAAAGAGAATCCTTTCAGTTTAATCAATAGTCCTGAACAGGTGAAATCCAGATGGGATGAAGTAGCTGAGGAGTTTTCATTCACACATATTACTCAGGCTCTGATTTCAGGGTTTTCTATGTCTGGAGGTATGTGCATATTGGGTAGGAACAAGGAGTTCCCTCAGCACGTTGGACAGGCCTTAATAAGGTAAGAAAAGCATCATGAGGCCAGATGCCCCTTTCCATAAAGGACAAAGCAGCAGCATTGCAGCATTCCTTACAGAAGGAAGACCCTTTATGGCCCTTCACACTCTGGATCTACCAGATGGTGGAGCCCTCCATTCCACACATTGGTCTGGTCTTTGTGCGGTTCTGGCTTTCTAGCAGATCACAGTTCTACCATATCTTTTGTACAGTACATTTTACATTAACTCCAATAATGATCCAAAGGGCTGTCACTGCTGGGAACCTTGTCTGGCTTAGGACCGTTGAATCTTTCCCCAGCATGAACTGTGACGTGGGTATTGAGCGCACCTTTATAAGTAAATCTTCGGCCACACTCATTGCACGAGAATGGCCTCTCCCTGATGTGTATTTGCTGGTGCACTTTCAAGGCAAGCTTGTGGCTGAAACTCTTTTTGCACTCAGGACATGGGAATAATTTTTCCCTGCTGTGCACTTTGCTATGTTCAGTGAGCTGAAACCGATGGCTGTAGATTCTACCACACTCACTGCACGAGAAGGGTTTCTCCCCACTATGGGCCACGATGTGTTCAGTGAGCTCTGGCCGTTCCATGAAACTCTTGCCACATTCACCACAGGAGAAGGGCTTCTGCCCTCGGTGTACTCCAATGTGACTGGTGAGATGAGATCGGCGGATGAAGCTCTTCCCGCACTCCCTGCAGGAGAATGGCTTCTCTCCACTGTGGACTCTGATGTGTACAGCCAGCTGAGACTGATAGCTGTAGGTCTTGCCACATTCACTGCAGCAGAAGGGTTTCCTTCCACTGTGGACTCTGACATGTCTGGTGAGCTTAGACTGATGGGTGAAGTTTTTGCCACATTCTCCACAGGAGAATGATTTCTCTCTGTTGTGGACTCTGAGGTGTTTAGTGAGTAAAAATTTTCGGGTAAAGCTCTTGCTGCATTCACTACAGGAAAATGGCTTCTCCCCACTGTGCTGGATGAGATGGGCCTTCAGATTTATCTTTAGTCGGAAGCATCTGTCACACTCAGGACACTGAAAAGGCTTCTCCCCAGTATGGAGTGTGATGTGTTGGTTGAGGTTGTTCTGCTTGTTGAAGCACTTGCCACACTTGCTACAGCAGAATGGTCTTTCTCTGCTATGAAGACGCTGGTGGATTTTCACAGATGACTTCCGGCTGAAGCTCATATCACACTCAGGACACTGGAACGGCCTCTCCCCACCGTGTACTCTGACGTGCTCTGTGAGCTCGGACTGATGGATAAAACTCTTGCCACACTCGCCACAGGGGTAGGGTTTCTCCCCATTGTGCAGTCTCATATGTGCCTTCAGACTTCTCTTTAGGCGGTACTTCCTATCACACTTGGGACATGGGAAGGGTTTTTCCCCAGTGTGGACACTGATGTGATCAGTAAGGTTAGACTGGCAGGTGAACCACTTGCCACACTCGCCACAGGAGAATGGTATTTGTTCATCACGTGAGTTTTGGTGAAACTTTAAGGAGGTTTTCCTATAGAAGCTCTTGTCACACTTTTGGCAGTGGAAGGGCTTTTCTCCACTGTGAATTCTCATGTGGGCGCTGAAAATAGAGTGCAAAGTGAAGACCTTGCCACACTCACCACAGGAAAATGACTTCTCCCCACTGTGGAGGCCCTGATGTGTATGCGTGTAGGATCCCAAGCAGCTCTTCCCACATTCCTCACAGGGGAACAGGTTTCCCCAGCGGGGTATGTGCTGAAGCTCCTTGCAACAGAAGCTTTGGCTTCCCTTGGGGCCCCATGGGGGCCTCTCTTCCCTGTGAACCAGCTGGTGAGCAAGCGGACTCCATTTTGGACAGGAGCTCTTCTCACACCAGTAGCACTGGAAAGGCTTCTCTAGGCAGCAGAGTCTCTGGCTTTGCTTGAAGTTAGATTTGCTGCTTAATGGCTTCTCACACGCTGAACACTGGCAGGGTTCCTCCTTGGCATGGCGCCCTTGGTGGAGTACCAAGTGACCTTTCCTGCAGAAGCTTTTATTAGCCACAGAGCAATGGAAGCATCTCTGTCCTAGGCAGACTTCCTGACAGCCCAGGGGGTCTGGGATTTTATGATTCGGGATTCTTTTCCTCTGGAAGGACCCCTTAATGCTGTGAGCTTTTAGAAAAATAGGGTTTTTGTTTTGAATGTGGAGGTATCTCAAGGTAGTTCTTTGAACAGATACGGAGCAAAGATTTCCTTTTTTCCGTTGTAAAGATCTAAGTAAATCTTGGCTTTGATGATCATCCAAATGGAATTCCTCTTCTTTTGTACTCACACATCCCTGGCATTCTAGAATTATGAACAAATACCCTGTTATTATTCCTGAATGACCTATGATCTATCCAAATCACTACTACAGCAAAACACAGCCAACAAAGGCTATCCTAAGAATCTGGGTCCATCTCACCTTCACTTCCAGAGAAGCCATAACTTTGCCTTTTCATTATCTGTCATTAAAATAATTAAAAATAGTCAGAGTATGGAGACTAAGCAACAATAAGTTGTGGCTCCCTGGGTGCATTAATGTAAAGCCCAACCCCTACAAGTTTCCCAGGTCCTCCGGGTCAGCCAAGGACGATCAGTATTCTCAGTGGATGCTGTCCAATGTGAAGGTGTCCTCACTGAGAAGCTCAGGCCTAGTTAACTAAGGAGCTTTGTTAGGGAATTCAAGCAAATGCATGATATAATCAGTAATGTTCCCAAACTAAACAGCATGAAAAGACTTTAAAACAATATGTAGCAACTTTTTTTCTATATTTATCAAATATCAAATATAAGCATTTTCATATCCATAGAAGTACAGAAAGACAGAACTACACACAAAATTACAAATCTCTATTACGTGCTATTTGCATCTTTTAGAAAGTAGTTTTAATCAAAGCTATCTTGTAGTAGACAAGTAACAGAAAAAGTAGACCAGAAGAGTAGGAGAAACCAGAATAGGCCCAAATACATAAACTGAAGCTATGAGAAAAAAAAATGTTGACGAGAGAAAAGAGGACCAAAGACAGATGCTTGAGAAACATTCACCTTAAGGATTCAGGAAGAAGATAAGGAACAAATGAAGGAGACATAGAAATGGTTAGAGAGGTAAGGAGTAAACTAGGAAACAGTGGCATCTCTGAAATAAAGAGCGAAGAGATCCAGGAGGAGATGGTCTACAATGCTAAAAAACTACAGAAAGGTCAAAGAGGATAGGCATAAAAGATGTTGGTTTTTGTGGCTATTGGTGACCTTTAGGAAGCAGCCAGGTACAGACGTGGATAGAGCACTGGTCCTGGAATTGGGAAGATTTGACTTCAAATGCAGACTCTTATTAGCTGTGTGACCCTGGGCAAGCCACTTAACCTCTGTCTGCCTCAGTTTCCTCAACTATAAAATAAGGATAATAATAGCACTTACCTCAAAAAGTTGTTGTGAGGATCAAATGAGGTGCTAATTGTAAAGTGCTTAGCATGCACAGTTGCTGGCACATAGTAGGCACTTAAATGCTTGTTTCCTTCCTTCCTTCAATAGAATAGTTTGAGTAATATGGTAAGGACAGAAGCACATCATAACAGGCTGATGAGAGAAAGTACAATGTGAAAGTGGAAGAACTAAGTATAGACAACACTTCCAAGGAATTTAGTAATGAAAGTCAGAAGAGAGATGGGATAAGAAGCATCTGAATGAGCTAGAAGGCTCAAAGGAAGGCATCTTTTGGATTGAGCATTAAGCATGTTTGTAGGTAGAGAGGAAGGAGCCAATGGTGAGGGACAGATGAAGATGCAGGAGAAAGAATGGATGATTCCTAAAGCAAACAAGATTCTGGAAAAAACAGGAGGGAATAGGCTTAAAAGAGTAGGAAGAGGGATTTGCCTTAGTAAATATTAGGATAAGGTTAAATGAAATTAGAATTAAGTTAGAGGTATTTTTAGACCATTACTGAAGGGACACTGGGTTAAAAATATGGGGCATGGGAACTGGGGTGCTGGAAGAATATTTGGAATGACATTTGGATATTTGGAATGTGAACCTAGGATCAAATACTTAAGGGCTTTAAAGGGACCTCAGAGATCAGCTGCCACAGGGATTCTTAAGCTGAGGTCCAGTGATCACAATGTCTCTGGATAGATTTCAAGTGGTCTATGAACTCGGATGGAAAAACATTACTTTATTTTCACTCACTTCTAACTATAATTTAACATTTCCTACAATTATGAATTATAAAAAACACATTATTCTCAGAAGTGGCTATAGGTTTGAAAAGCCTGCCAAAGGGGTCCTGACACAGAAAAGCTTAAGAATTCATGATCTAGCAATTAAATTTGCCTTTAAATTCCCAGTCCTTCACTTTACAAAAGAAGTAAGCCGATGCCCAGAAAGGTAAACTAACTGGCTTAAGGAAATCTGGCTAATAAGTGGCAGAGGCAGGATGCAAACCTAGATCCTTTGACTCCCAATCCAGTGGTCTTTCCACTATACCAGATTGTGGAGCTCTATTCAAATCAAATTGTAAGGAAGGTGAATTTTAGTGTGTGTAAAGTGGATTTTTTGTTATTCTTTCTTAGCGTTTTCTTCCCAGGATCCATAGCCATAATAATCTCTACTTCCCAGGTGTTAGATATGAGTTCTCACGATCATGGTTCAAAACAGTTTCTACCACACTTGCACAGCAAGGGATGAAGTGAGGTAAAATTGTGAGACTATTGCTGGCAATGTGCCTTCTCTAGACAGTGCCCTATAAAGCAAATGGGCACTGGTCAGTGACTGGGGAACCCCATAGAGGTGAATGTGCAGGGTGAATGCTGTGCGTGCCTTGATCGGCCCCCACCAAGGCTTGGGAGGGGGAATCTGTGTGTTTGCCTCAACCAGCCCCCATTGAGGTTTGAGGGGATTTAGGGGAGTGCACAAGTTGTGCTGGTCTCGACTTACCCCATCGAGAAGGGTACCTGCACCCCTCTTCACACTGGCCCCTGCGAGAAAGGTTGTTGGGGAATGCTGTAGGAGTTGGAGCTCCCATTATCAGCAAACTCCCTTTGAGAATACTAGACTAGAATAAAGTAAGCTTATTTAACCCCTTATTATGACTCCATTCCTGTCTTCCTGTCTGATGGGATCAAAAGCAAACCTCCTAGTGAGAGAGCTGCTAGAAGCCCTCTTGTGTCTCCTTCCTAAGAAATGGTGTAGTCTGTGTGTTTACTTGTCCAACACAAATGACATTAGAATAAAAGACAGATAATTTTTATTAGGATTACTAAAATCATGTCCTTAAAGGATCTGGATATACTGCATTTGCCTGCAGACTCATTCATTTTCTGTGACAATTTCTGTTCCTGGCCAAAAATTAACTTACAGATTAGGGCCAAGCACACCATGAAAAACTATAAATAAGTATTGAGTTGTCCTGGATTGCTGAGGATGGAGAATGGGTAACATAAAGAGAGACAGGAGATGGTGGGATTTCTGGGAAGGGAAGAGATATTGGGAATAGAGGGCCCTGTGGGACCACAGTAGGTTAGACCAGGTCATCTTCAGAGTGTGACTCATCTGATGCCCCAAGCTATTATATGGACAATAAAGTTGCTTATTAAAAAAACAACTTTGGTATTGGACCCACATGTTACTTTGAATCTTTGACCCATTATATGAATGGAACACAGATGATGATACTGAAAAGGTTTGAGGACTGGGGGAATAAAACTGAGGCAGTCCACATCTAATGTTTTTAATTTTCCCAGTGATGTAGGAGGTTAGGTTATCTGATAGAAACGTGAGAGGTGAGGTCATGGTTGGAAAGATTGATGAAAAAAGGCAAAGAAAAGAGAACAATAGTATGTATATTGACCACAATAATATAATGGAAAAGTAGATGTATAAATACAGAGATTCACGGACGGAGAGAGGCAGCTAAGTGGCTGAGTAGATAGAATGTTAGGCATGGAGTCTAGAAGACTCATCTTTCTGAGCTCAAATCTGGCCTCAGACACTTACAAGTTGTGTGACCTTGGGCAAGTCACCTCACCCTGTTTGCTTTAGTTTCCTCATCTGTAAAATGAACTGGAGAAGGAAATGGCAAACCATTCTAGCATCTTTGCCAAGAAAATAACAAATGGGATCACAAAGAATTGGACATGACTGAAAATGACTGAACAACAAAAAAAAATGGACAGAGAATGTATAGGGATACAGAGATTACAAGTGATGATGTTTTATGAACATGTAGGCAGAAATTCAGTTTTACATGTAAATAGTTGCAAATGTAGATATGGTTGGTTTTGTAGGTTAAAGTTCAGTGTTATGACAAATTATTTTAAAATAAAATTTTTTAAAAAGCAAGAAGAGAGAACTAAGGAGGGTAACTTACTAACATTGTTATTCTCCTAGATCTTGAAAAGACTTAATTTATTTGCTCACCTGGAACAGGGCATATTGAGTCTGCTCTCTCTTCTAAGTACGATTGATCCAAAATAAGTGGTTCGATGCCTTGCTTAATCCAAGGGAAATCATCAGCCCTCAGGAGTGGTAGGCTCACCTCTGAGAAAGAGAACAGTATGGGTAGAATGAGACATACATTTTTGGACATGGCCACTGTGGAAATCTATTTTGTTTGACCATGCATATCTGTTACACTATTAATTATTATTAAATTAAATTACTATTTAAAAAGAAATGTCTGTTGAATAAATGAATGAGAGGCTCTATAATGAAGTCCAATGAAAATTGGACTTTAACAACAAAAAATTAAAAAAAAACCTGCATTCAAGTTTACTTAGGTATTTTCTACCAATGTGATTTTGGAGAAGCCACAACCACTTCCATCAATTTAGATGAAAGCATACAATGAAGTGAGCTTGGACATACAACCTATCCTCACGTTCCTCTTCTGTAAAATGAGGATAAGATTTCCCTTACCTACTTCACAGAGCTGCTATAAGTATAAAGTGAAATAATATATGAAAGCCCTTTGTACATTATAAAGTGAAATTTGATTGTAAGATATATTTATTAATAATAGTAATAGGTGGTGATATCCACATATTCAGAGGCTACTAGGTGATGCAGTGGATAGAGAACTGGGCCTTAAGTCAGGAAGGCATGAGTTTAAATCTGGCCTTGGGTACTTATTAGTGGTGTGACCTTGGGCAAGTCATTTAATCTCTGTTTGCCTCAGTCTCCTCATCTGTAAAATTGGTATAATAATAGCATTTACCTCCCAAGGTTGTTGTGAAGATCAAATGAAATAGTGTTTGTAAAACGTTTAACCTGTATGGAGTTTTCTTGGTAAAGATACTGGAACGGTTTGCCATATTCTTCTCCAGTCGATTAGGGCAAACAGAGGTTAAGTGCCTTGACCAGGGTCACACAGCTAGTGGATATCTTAGCCAGATCTGAACTCAAGGTCTTCCTAATTGCAAGCCCAATGCTCTATCCACTGAGCCACCTAGCTGCCTCCATAAAAATGCTAGCTATCAGTATAATCCTCCTCCTCCTCCAACCCAACTCCTCCTCACTCTGATTCAGAATAACAAATCCAAGTGACCAAAGCTTATTAAACTGCTGGGAAATTGCAGCCAAAAATAGAAGAGACTGCTATAAAAATCCTCACCTTAAGTTATTAGGGTTTTGGGTTGCTCCTTCTCATCAAGTTTTTATTTTTGCTATATCCAGACTCTTGAGTTCTTCACCTTGGGTCATTTTAATGGGAATTATTATTCCCAGTGGGACAAGGAAGGCAAAGTTCCTCTGAGGACCCTTGGGAGGGGGTATCTTTATACTCATTGTTTAAAACTCCTGAAAGGACTTTCCAGCTGAGGTCCAAGAAGAATCATCTGTTTCTTTTTAGAAAAATGAAGATGATATGAATCATGGTTTTGGGATTCTAAAAATATTTAGAAAGCTGCTGGTGCTCTAAATATATAATCAGTCAGCAAATGAGTGAATATACTCACAGAAGGCATATCACATATATATTCCTTATTATTAAAATGAAATTTCAGCTAAATGGATGGATAACTCTCAGGTCCTTTTTAGAGTTCTTAGGATCATAGCATAGTGTTGAAAGGGACCTTAGGGGCCATCTAATCAAATCCCCTCATTTTATAAATCAGGAAACTGAGGCACAGACAGGTTAAATCACTTGCCCAAGATCATTAGGTGGGAATACTCATATTAGTCGAACCCAATGAAGGAGACAGAAGTTAGAGAGATAAGAAGTAAATCAGGAGAATATAACACCTCTGAAATCAAGGACAAAGAGCTCCAGTAGGATGTGTTTGTTGGTCAACAATGTCAAAAGTTACAGAAAGGGATTAAGTATTCTGATTTCTACTGGTCAGTTGTCACTAAGTTCAGTGCTATCTACATATGAGTTTCAATCCAGTCCAAGGAAAAAGAAATATTTTGAGTACTTAGCGAAAAGGATTGAAGATGTTATGGTGTTAATCTCTTCATACTCACCAAAAAACTTCCACCCCTCAGTGCTTTCCAGGTTACATTCCCCATCATCATCACAAGTGACCACTGTTTCTCTTCTCTTCAAATCTACCAGATCTTTGATGAATGGTTCTTTACCCTGTTCAATCCAGGATATTAAGTCTGGTTTTGGGACAGCATGGTCTGCAGAAAGGCCAAAAAGAGGCAATTTTGATTCTCAGAACACTCACTGTGCAAATATATTCACAGTTATTTTATTTTCCTTGATTGACTAGAGGGACAACGTATGAGAAGAACAGATACATCCAGAAAATGAATAGTCCTGGAACAGCTGATCATGGCCACAATCAGGGATATGAATCACTGCCCAAAGATATGAGAATGTAGCTAATTCTAGCTAAAATGTATCATGCAGTATATCTACAATCAGCTAACATTACCATCTACTTGAAATGGTTGTAGCTTTCAGCTGAGACTTAAAGAGCAACTCTTTGATTGGTTTACTGAGTTAAGTGTTAAAATGCAAACCACAGATAGAGGTACTGGCTGTGTCCTGTTGTCTACATAATAAATCTCATAAACATTTTTATTCTCCACATTCTCTCATTTAACTGGGTAACCTCTTCTTGCATATTCATTCTATTCAACTTATTTTCACACAAGTCAACCAATTAATACCTTTAGGCAAAATCCATTAACCCTTTCCTCCTCTTTAGGCTTTGTTTAGGCCAAGGTCTCCCAGTGCATCCAGGGCTATCTCCAGGTGTCCTGATCTATCTCTTGCCACTTGATCCAGGTGGCTCCAGAGAAGAGAGTGAGGCTGGACAGCTCTCCTTCACTTAAATCCAATTCACTTGCAAGTCATGGCATTACTTTCCAGATGTTATGGTCCTCTTCGAGAATGAAGGACAAACAACAACAACAATCGACATCTTTGGACACGCCAAACTTTACCTTACCTTCTTTTAGGAAATTTCCATTTTGATAGTTTTTCCCCCTAAATAACTTATTAAAAACTCAATGTATATTGATTGATTGATCCTGTTGATTGCTTTCACTAGATTGTTAGCTTCTTGAAAGCAGAGACTTTGTCTCATTGGTCTTTATAGCGCCCACACCATCTAGCATACAGGCACGACACAGATGTCTATTGAATACTATGTGAAACCAGCACGCACTTTGATGAGAAATACCTAACAAGTTTCCAATTAGCTCATCTTACCCAAGGATGTTAAGGTCTCATAATTCGTCCTCATCACATGCTTGTAGGTTTCCTTCTGCCACTCTTCCAGGTTTCCCCACTCCTTCTCAGAGAAATACACAGCCACATCATCAAAGGTCAAGAATGCCTGGAATCACAAACATTGTAGACACACTTAATACTTCAATGTTACCCCAGCATCTTCTTATACAATTTATTGCCTTTTTTTTAAACTATCAAAGCCATTCTTTTCAGACAGAGGGTTATAAAATTCTTCCTTCAAGGCTATATTTTCAGCATTTTGAGGGGATTTTATTGTAGTATTTCAGCAGAACATGCAGGAATATATTTTCTAAAACATCTGGGACTCATTTCCCAACTATAACCAAAATACTCTTGGCAAATACTTCAAATAAGTCAAATTAACCTCTCAACTGTGCCCTAGAGTTCTGAGGCTTTCATTTGTTATCTATTTTATTCATTGGCCTTAGGAGAATTATTAGATAAAATTATTTCATGAGAGCCATCAAAATGTCTCTTTGCTAAGTGGGCAAATATCACTTTTAACATAAAAGGTTTGATTTTACCTTGAGCTGGGCATTCAAGACATTGCTCTGTATATCTAAGAGATTCACTATGTGTGAACTTGGTTGACACTAAACTGGTAATCATGTAAAATGGTTTAAATTCTGGCTCCAATACTCAACTAACTTCATCTGTACAATGGAGATATGTCCATATTTGAATGGGTCTCTAATGAACATAAACAATCCCATAGAGAGGACTTACGCAGCATCATGCTTCCGGTCTATCAACATTCTCTAAGTACCAAGACATAACTTGGGCTATTCCTCTGTTATTCGTTGCTCTTGCTACATGAATGGCTGACCTCCTTTTCCAATCATATTTCCTGAATATCTTTTATGCCATTTTTTTTTGTATGAAAGTAGGTACTGGTCATGAACTGCAGCCTGCTTGTGAGTATCTCTCCTTTGATTCACCCACAGTTTGGGGGTAGTAATACTTATTACTATCTCAGCAGTAATACTTATTACTATATTAATACTATCTTACCAGGTTGTTGTAAGTGTCCTTTGTAAATCTTAAAGTGCCACAGAAATATGAGCTCTTAGTAGTATTACCACCATGTACAAGATAAACTGAATGCCCTACCTGCAGAGATACTGATGATCAGTATTAAATTATTTTAATCACATGAAAAGTAAATTCAAAATGTTTTAATTGACCAAGAAAATAATACCAGGAATAATACCAGCTAGGAAGAAACAAAGGAGGGTTATTAAATTGACAAATTATTCTATAGTAATTTCCAATTAAGTCATATCCCAATACTTCATTTTATTAGGAAAGCACTTTGGATTCTTGAAAGCTATGCCAGCTGGTCAAGGTTTTATATCTGGAAGTTTTGTGAATGCTGCAAGGTTTTATAGCTGGAAGCTTTGAGAATGGCCTATTGACTAAACATATCTGTCATCTGATTATCAGACTAGCCAAGTCTGGAGAAATTGTATGACGTCAAGAAAGATACTTCTAAGTTTCCTGATCTATAAGAGAAGGGGATTGGAAAATAGAGGATAAATAGGCTTCAAACTTATCTTTAAATTGGGAAAATGGAAGCAATGAAGAATCTATAATCCCTAGTCAACCTCCCCAAGAGCCCAGGGGTGGGAGCCTTCACAGAGACACTCTCAAGCCCCACCTCAGTTGATGAGAAAAAAATCTATTATCAAATAATATCAAACTAAGTTAACACGACTGTTTTTGTGTTCCATTTTTAACCCATCCTTTTCACTTTTCTTCCTATTCCCTTCCCCAAGTAATCCATAGTACATTCTCAAGTTCTTGCTCACTTATAATGCCTGAGAAGCAGCAACTTCCATGATGGCTTGTGTTTATCAATGCCTCCCAATTGCACAGTCACACTATCAGTTGTACCATTCATTCATCCAAACAGCCAGTAGTTAAGCCCTAAGGAGACAAAAATACAATTTAGATATAATGCTCACCCTTAAGAAATAATCATAAAATCTTCAGGTTGGAAGAGCCCTTAAAAGTTTACTAGTACAACTTCAGTCCAAATCATAACACATCTCTACAACTTCCTCAAGAAATTCCAACCTCTGTTTGAAGACATCTAATGAAAGGAAACTCACTATCTGCCTTTCGAACCATTTTTGGACTATTCTAATTGTTTCCTATGTTGAATTGAAATTTACTTCCCTATAAATTCCATCCATTTGACCTTTGTCTGTTCTCTGAAGCCAAGCAGCATAAGTTAAAGAAAGCTATCATGTCACACTGAAAGATTCTTTTTTTCCAGACTAAACAGATAGCATTTCTTCAATGAATTTTTGTGTGTGCATGGTTTCAAGCCTCCAATTCTATTGGTTGCCTTTCTCTACATTTTTTCACCTTGTCAATGTCCCTTAAAAATTGAACATGATAAGCCAGGTGTCATCTGATCAGTTCAGAATATAAGACTTTAACTCTGGACACTATCTTCTTTCAACCAAGCATAAGATCACAGCTTACTTGACTAAAATATAATAATGCTGACCTAGAACCACTTGATCTTTTTCCTATGAAATGCTTCCTAACTATATCTCCCTTCATCCTGTACTTGTAAAGTTGAATTTTTGAAATCAAGTAGAAGACTTTACATTTATTACTACTAACTTTCACTGGACTAGAGGCAGCCCACCTTCCCAGTCTGTTAAAATATTCCTAATAACAATAGCTAGCACTTATATAGTTCCTTAAGATTAGTAAAGTGCTTTACAAATATTTCTTATTTGATTCTCACAAGATTGGGACCATGTCCTATCATTATTCCCATCTTAAAGAAGAGGAAACTGAGACAGACAGCATTTAAGTTACTTGCCCAGGTCACACATTTAACAAATGTCTGACGTTATATTTGAACTCAGGTCTTCCTGACTCCGACATTCAATTTACTCTATCAGCTGTCTAGATTCCGATTCTGTCACACAAAGTACCAGACAGAGTTCTCAGCTTCATGTCATTAGTCAATTTGATAAACATGCCATTGACGTTTTTAGGCAAATAGTTACTTTTTAAAAACATAGAATAAACTAGGACAGAGGACAACTTTTTGAATAGACACAGGCAACGTCTTCTCACACTAACAGTTTTTTGAATTAGTTAAATTGAGCAGTTCTGATTTCTTTTTTTTTGCAAGGCAGTTGGGGTTTAGCGACTTGCCCAGAGTCACACAGCTAATAAGCATTGTGTCTGAGGCCAAATTTGAACTCAGGTCCTCCTGGCTCGAGGGTTGGTGCTCTATCCACTGTGCCACCTAGCTGCCCCTGCAGTTCTGAATTCTCACTGTACACTCATACATCTACATACATGTACATCTCTTCATCTCTCATAAGAGATTTTATTAAATGCTTTGATGAAATCTAGGACCATTGGGTTGAATGTAAAAATATGAAATTCAAATGTAAAGTCTTATACTTGTATCATCTTTACAAATATAAGATGAAGAATGATTAGACATCAATTTGTCTAAATAAAACTTGAAATGTTTTAGTGTATTAAAAGCTCAAAATAAGTCAGCAGTGTGATGTGGCAACCAAAAAGTTAATGCAATGTTGGGCTGCAATAAAAGAGACATTGTTTTTAGGAATAAGGTGACAGTATCATTGTATTCTGCCTTTCTCAGACCACATTTGGAGTATTTTGTTCAGTTCTGGGCACCACTTTAAAAAGAACATTAATAAGTTGGAAATGGTCCAGAAGGGCAATCGAGATGTTTAAGGCTTGCCTTAATCCCCCATCACATTAGGACAGGTTGAAAGAACAAGAGATGCTGTGAACCTACAATGTTGGGAGTACTCCCCTTATCCTGTGGCTGTCATGAAACCTTTGTTCTGGGTCTAAGGCAAAACGTCTCATCCCTGTTGTTTCATGGGAAAGGAAGAATTCTGAGTCAAGACTCTTATTTGTCATCATGGGGAACAGGAGACAGCTAGAGAACTGGTTTCCTGTTAATCAGATTAGAAGTACAAGTAGCAACTGATGAAAATTGACCAAAGACTAGGCTCTCTGCCCTCTTGACTGCAGGCTTAGTTTTGAGACACTTCCCCCCGCCCCCATCTCCATCTCATTAGTATACCTCTCAAAGCATTCTTAAGAACTAAGAAATGCTTAAGTGTCAACTGTACAGAAAATCTGATCTCCCGTGGAAACAAAGCAAAAACACCTGTTACAAGGTATAAGAAGAATGAGAAAGGCAAATCTCAGTAGGTCTGACTGAACAGACATTGCATTTATCACACAATAGGGAGAGACAGATGAGCAATATAAAACTGGCAAGAATGTTAAACAAGAAAATTGAGTAGTGTACAATGTAAATTTTAATGTTTAAGACAAGCTCTAGCTAACAGAGGTATAATTGAGATCATGAAAACTGGTTCCAGGACTTAAGCCTATAAGTCCCTATACTTCCTTTTGCTTTTTAAAACCAAAATTTCTGTTAAAATAAATATGTATCAAGGATCTGGGCACCACATCTTAAGAAAATCACTGACAAACTGCAGAATATCCAGAAGAATCCATATCTTATGAGGATAGGTTGCTGGAAATGGCAGTGTTTACCCTGGAAAAAAAAATCAGAAGGACCTGATAGTTGTAATTAAGTATCTGACAGGCTGTCACATAGATTAGATTTATTTGCCCAGAGGGACTTCTGAGAAAACAGGGTCATCTCCATGTCCTAATGAAAACATCAGGAGGATTTTAGTGAAGGTATCCCCTGTCCTCAGCAAAATGAAAGATTCCCTCAAATCCAGAGAGACCAAGACAGGTTCCCACAGACATGCAGTGCAGTTAAGAAAACGGATGCAGAAGCAGGCAGGAGGCCCAGGGAGAATTCTCTTTTTGTGAAAACATTACTCAAATACTGTTTCCTAGAAAAGGATCTCGACCCTGACACCCGAATCGGCTTCAAAGTGACCAGCCTAGAGGGAAAAATCTTGACTTGGAAGTCAAGACCATGGCACTACGCCGGGCTTCACCGTTAAAATCATTTAATAATCTATTTAATGATTCAGTGACTTAAAAACAAGTCACTTCATCTCACTGGGCTCCAGTTTTCTCATCCATAAAATGAGAGGCCTTAAATCCAAATAAGCTTCAAATTTCTCTTGAGACTGTACAAATAAATGGTGGCTTGGCTGTGAATAAGTGGACCGTAAGAGGGCACCCCAAACTGTCCCTTTGTCCCAATGTCCATAGCTAAACAAGTCTTCCTTTCCATAAATAAACCCCCAAACCAACCCACAGTCAAGTCGGGTCGCGGGAGACTCAAGTTCGTGTTCTGGAGGGTAGGGTCAGCTCCCACATTCCTGACTCTGGGAACTTCAAGAAGCCCCCGGCCTCGGGAAAGAAGGACCCCCACGGGGCCCGGGCGCCCTTGGGTGTTGCAGTCCAGCGGTACTCCCCTCCGTACGCGTGGGGGAGGTGGGGTATCTCACCCGAGCAGGAGCAGGAGCCGTCTCGGCCATGGCCCTTGGTCTCCTTCCCAGGTCCCGGGGAAGCTGCCGCTTCTCCCGCTCCCTCCCCCCGGCCACGCTCCGCAGTCAAGGGCAGCGGGGTCTCCGGCCACTCCTGCGCCCGCGCTCCTCCCGCGTCCCTGCGGGTGGCGGCGGGGCAGGGGCCACAGCGGAGAAGCGAGCCGGTACCCTGTCCTCTCTGCACCCCCCGCCTCCATCGCTGCTCCGCTCCGCGCAGCCGCACTCCTCCCCTCGCACAGCCAGCGGCCGAAGCTGTCCGTTGCCAGGGATATACATTGGGCATCCTGGGAATCTGTTCTCCCTCACCCCTTCTCTCCTCCCCCCGCCCCATCCCGGGAAATGCTTCTGTCCTGCAGCGCCTCCTGCGGGCCCGAGGAATAAAGGGGCATCTGGGGCCGATTAGACCAAATGAGAGCTTCATGTCCAGGGCCAAGAAACATCGACGAAGACAGATTCAGGGGCGAGAATGGGACTGGCTTTTGAAAGAACGAGGAGCAAACCTGCCAGAAATGCAGGGAAAGTGAAAGGGCACGTGGGAAAAGTAGGTGGGGGCCAAATTGGGGAAAATCTCCACCATGATTGATGACAGAGAGGCTGGGGAGTCATTGAAAAGGTTTTAGACCAGAGGGTGATGCGTGCCAACAATATATTGAGAAGATTATTCTGGAAGCTGTGATGGGGGGGGGGGTTGGGGAGAACTGGAGACAAAGATTCTCATTTAGAAGACTCAGTTAAAAGAAATTAAGTGGAGGTGGTGTGATGAGAGAGAGGCTGGATAAAGATGATGGCAGTAGGAGTGGAAAGGGGCCGATGCCAGAGACAATACAAAGGAAGAACCAGCTGTTACTTGGTGAGTGATTGGATTCCCTCCCCCCCAACACACACACACGTTTGTACTTATTAAAAATTGACATTGTAAATGAAACTTGACTGCTAAAATATTTTGATTTGAAATATTTTATATAACAGCATTCACAGAATGTTAACCCCCAGGACACCCTCTTCCTCTGCCATGACCACATTCTTGACCTTGGTTTCTTTTTGTTAGATTTCACATCTGGTTCAACATCCTCAATGAAACATTCCTTGGCTTCTAGGAACTTACATTCTATAATAGTTGTAGATGGCCATTTTATAATTTAAGACATTTCAAAACTATTGTATTGCTCATACACTTAAAGGACAAGATAAGGATGTTTTATATTGAATATATTATTAAAAACCTAACTTTGAATATTAACAAAAAACAACTAAATGTGCTTATTAACTACGTTGAATTTAATTAATTTAAACATATACAATAGTTTCAAAAATAATTTCCTCTAACACTTCAGGATTCTTCAAGTGAAGTATCTAGAGGCAAGCTGTATGTTAGGATGAAGAACTGAATGGTATTTCCTCGAATATTCAGTTTTTTCAATTGTACAGGCTCTCTGTTCACTGCCAGTTTCACAGCTTTCCGATATGTTTTCATACTGACATCCACACTTGGACACAGTTTCATGGCTCAACCTCATCAAAAATCTCATGAGTTTAAAAAAAAATCTCCTGAATTTCTTCCTGATGGAGCTATCAACCTTTAGGTCCAATAAGCTGAAAAACCTCTCTGGCACTTACACAGAGAGAGGGAAAGAATGGCCAGAAGTACTTTCTCTGGGCAACTAGAAGTGACTGATTGGATATAATCAGAGGGATATAGAGAATGAAAAGGCTGACTTCGAGATATAGTACCTAAGTGTCACTGACAGAAATGGATGAGACTAGAAGGGAAGATGTTTTGGGGAAAAGATGATGAGTTTCAATCCCAATTCTCCTTTGATTCTTTCTATATATTTTCTCAAGCTTATGAATCTATATTCTTTTCTAATCTCCTGTTCCTGTTGATGGCTTTTGTCTTAGATGCTTATTCCATCCTTGAAGACTGGTTCTAGTCTTTGTTCTGTACTTCATTTTTGAAATATTTTAAGTTATAAAATTAATAGCCATCAACAACTATCATACAATATAAGTTCCTTGAGAGCAAGGAATGTTTCATTTTTGCCTTTATATCCTCAGGGCTTTGTGCCTGCCATACTTGTTGAAAACATGCCAACCCTTCCATTGGAATGTAAGCTTCCTGAGAATAGCATCAAGACCAGAAACATTTATGGAGCATTTACTATGTGCCAGACACTGTGCTAAGCTCTGAGAATACAAATACAAGCAAAAAGAATGACAATCTCTACTCTCAAGGCACTTATGTTCTAATGAGGGAGATGACGTGAGAAAGTGAGTGGAAAAGGCAAGAGGAAGGTTCCTGCATTGGGACATGGTGGCAAATTCTGGAGAGCTGGAAGAAGCATGAGAGATGGTTGGCCTGGGCCCTTTCTCAAAACAGATGTTCTGGGAGAAGGGGGCCAAGACAGATGAGTGTTCCAGAGTGAGAATACCCCAGGGGATGAGGGAACTGTCAGGGCAAGAAGGCTGCTGAGGTATGGTGGCAAAAGTTCAGAGGGTCAAAAGCAGAGCTGGCAGAGGAATGAAGGATGGCAGGCATGGCTCCATCCTCAGACCGGAAGTTCTGAAGCTGGGACAGGGATCTACCAATGGGAGAGTATCTTGTATCTGTGTCCTCAGTACCTAGAAAAGATCAATTGATTGACTGACTCTTATAATGTGAATGCTACACAGCTCAACACAAAGTACTTGGGGCTGTCCATTGCTATAGTGCTGATTCAAATCATGATTCTAAGCTTCACCTCTACCCCTTGGCTGTGGTACTCAGCACTTCCTCTTAGTTGCAATGCTGATATCTGCAAGGAGGCTATGGAATTCGACCTGGACCTTGAGGGATGGATGAGATTTCAGCAGGCAGTATTAAGGGATAATGAGCGTGGGATGGGGCTGAGGGGTAGAAGAACAAGGAACATGATGAGGACAATTTTGTTGACACATGGAAGATTTGCCTTGTTCTCTGTGTAACTCCAGAGAGGGTACAGGAGATAGAACATTGAATGGTAGGCATTATAGAAAGGTAGATTATAGGTAGGCAGCAGGAGGCACTAGTGAGCAAGGTAAGCTGAGCTGCCAGTGTGCCTGGGGAGGCTGGACTTTCTGTTCACTTTCCCTGTGAGAAGAGAGGCTTTTCTTTCAAACCCAGCTGGCCAAGAACAGTTGCAGGCAGTTTGAAAATGAAAGCATTCTTATCCACTCTTTTGCTGCCAGTTCTCATTGCCCCGTGATTTGTTTCTAGGAGGAGCTGAATCGTGAATTATATGCCAGGCTTGTAACAGTGTTATACCTCTCTTCCACTTGGTGCTAGCAGCTCCAGTCCTAAGATTACCTCCTATGGTCAAACATTTAGTATCTATAGCTCAAGGAACGCTCTCATTCCCTTGTTTTCACTCTATTTGTAAGCCTTCAATACTGTTGAGCATTTCTGATGGCCAACAAGTTTAGGTTAACGAGCTCTACATTAAATGTAACAAAAAGAGTGCAGACCAACTAGTTCTTCCTGCCAACTGTAAGGGGAAGATGCCTTTGCTAGGAAGTAAAAGAAGCCCTGAGGGGCAGCTAGGTGGCTCAGTGGGTAGAGCACCAGCCCTGGATTCAGGAGGACCTGAGTTCAAATCTGACCTCAGACACATAACACTTACTAGCTGTCACTTAACTCCATTGCCCAACCCCCCCAAAAAAATTAAAAAAAGAAGAAGTCCTGGAGCAGATCACTGACTTGGGGACTCCCACTGTGGCACATATAACATATGATCAGTCCAGATCTTCTGATATGTTATGTCGGCTTATCTATTGGCTTGCTGTCCCTTTCCTTTCTCAATTCTCTGGTCTCTTTCATATGTTACTGATCTCCTATAAGTCTTTTTTTTTTTTTCCTTCAGAAGGGTAAGCAAGGAAAACCTGGGAATCAAGGTCAGCTCTTTCCACAAATCTCTCTGCCCCAAAGGCAGGGCACATAGGTGAGAACTATTTAACAGAGCCCTTCAAAAATGGAAGGGGCAATATTGTGAGCTAGTAGTTTCCCAGTCACTGGAAGCATTTAAACAGGCTGGATGACCCCTAATGTTGCTGAGAGTATATTGCTGAAGCATTTCCTGGGTAGGCATGTTGGGTTGGAAAGACCTTCAAGATTCTGTGAATTCCATTACCATATTCATTCACTAGAGACTGGAATGAGGGGGAGATAATGGCAAAACACATCAGAGTGATATGAGGAGAGGAAGAAGTGAGAAGAGCGACCTGTTGGGGAATGGAATCAATTTTTCCCCCAAGTAAAATGTGAAGCTAAGTCTTAGCTGAGGGGTTGACATTAGAGGAAAGGTATGAGGGCGGATGAAAAGGTTTGGAAGAGTCTCTGTGTTAAGTCAGAGAGTGAATTAATTAGGGAGGTATAAAAGGATTGCCTTGCAGCAATGAAGGCCTAATTGAGGTTATATAACATAAATTTGTAGTGGATTCAGCACAATTTTGTGGTTTCCTCCAGTTTTATTCAGCCACAAAGTAGAAGTGAAGGCAGCAGAAAGTGGGAGTGTTCCAAAGCAGAGGCCTGGCAGGGCAAAATCGGCATTATGATAAGGGGGAAGGAACCTCAGAGAAGAGAGCAGTATTGAGTCAAATTGGTTCACAAAGGGGTCAAGATCAAAAGGAGAGGGTAGATAGTGTGGGGGGTGATGGCTTGGGAGAGAATTATGTTGAAAGATTCTTTTTAATCCAGAAGCTTTGTGCATCACATAATTTAATCATGTAATTTTGTATTTTTCTAAGATTTTTTTCATAGACATAAATTTATAACTCCGGAACACATGTTGTTTTTTTATTTAGAAAATGCAGTTACAATGTCTTTATATCATGGTATGTATTCTTAGTGATTGTCAGTGGGGTGATAGGCTCCTGAACTAAAGTGGATTCCCAGCCTCATGCTTAATTAGGAGACAGCCCTAAGTAGTAGGAAGCAGGGACAGATTCAAAGGTTCATATTAAAATGAACCTTAGAGGTCATCTAGTCCAACCACCTCATTTCACAGAAAACTGAGACCCAGAGAGGTTAATGGACTTGCCCAAAGTCACACAGGTAATGAGTGGCAGAGCCAGGATCCAACAGAAATCTTCTGACTACAAATTCAGAGTTCTTTTTCCGACTTGAATTCTGATATTCTTTTCACTGTATATCCCAAAGAAGTACATTTTCCACTTAAGTAAAACAGCCCCTATCAGTTCTAGGAAAGTCCTTATCAGTCTAGGAAAAAGCCTGATTACAGATAAATAAAAAGAAATGGAGCTGAAATTATTTCCATGTCTCCAAAAGCATTTTTATATTGTTAGAAGAGTTTTCCAGCATGTTTCTATCTATGACTCAGAACTGCAGATATTCTTAGTATTTTAAAGTAGAATTAGTTCTTAAGAAGAATATACCTATAATAGGAGATATTTAGATTAAGCAGAAGTAGGGATTTCTTGGCATTCAAAGTAGTTGATCTGGGTCAGCCAATTATTGAGCTAGAAGCAATCTGACAGACTATCTACTCCCACCTATTCATTAATACTCAGAACCCTAGGAAAGCTCTAGAAATTTCTGTGAAGATCTTAAAAAATGAGACATCTGTCCCTTTTTGAAAAATTAAGTTCTCTCTTCCTGAGATGTGCAAGGGAAAGCCAAAATGACCTCTTGAGGTTCCTGCCAAGTCTATAATCCTATGAAGAATATTCTATGAAGATTTTAGTATCCTATGCACACCAGTTGAAATTGAGAATGTTAAGGAAGAAAAGAAATTTATTCCTGTACATAAACAAATCAATATGATTTAAGTACCCCAAGTTGCTCCCTAAAACACAGGCATTTTTGAACACTACTATTCTTCTAGTGATGTGATATGGCTCTGAATTATTAAATACCACAGTTTCCAAAGTAAGTTATTAATCACCCAAAAGAGCAATGGTGAGAAGCTTGGTGGATTGAGTAGTCTACTGAGTATTGTCAGTAAAGGAGTGTGTAGGAAAAGTGGGTACATATAATGTTATCAAAGATATTTATAAAGTGGGGTGGAAACAGCTCCAGAGAGTTAAGGACAAATGACCGCCAGCCCAAGGGCTCCACTGCTACCTACTCAACATCAGGAGATAAAGAAGATAAAACCCATCATGTTGAGTGGCTCCCTTGTGAAGGATTTACAGGAAGATGTGGAAAAAGCATGGTGGAATGAGAAGAGTTTTTTTAATCTTCATTATAGAATCAATGACCTTTGGAAATACTTTTTGCCAAGTGTCAAAGAATACTTTACAACTGCAGATCATGAAGCATTTCCCTAAAGCCAGACAACAATCACAGTTCACTTAAGACCCATTTTTGCACACTCCTCCAAGGTCTCAATCAATTGTCAACAAGTATTCATTGAGCACCTACTATGTGCTAGCCAGGGCAGCTAGATGGCACAGTAGATAGAGGATCAGGTCTAGAGTCAGGAAGACTCATTTTTCTGAGTTCAAATCTGGCCTCAGACACTTACTAACCATGTGACTCTGGGCAAGTCACTTAACCCTGTTTGCCTCACTTTCCTCATCTTTGAAATGAGCTAGTAAAGGAAATGGCATACCACTCCAGTATCTTGGCCAAGAGAACCCCAATTGAGGTCACAACAGAGTTGAACACAACTGAAACTACTGAACTGATTGTGCTAGGCAGTAGAGCTAGGGGTGGGGATATAAGAATGAATAATGAAGCAGTCCCTACTCTCAAGGGGTTTATGTTCTAATGGGGGAATCAGCAAGTACTTAAATAAATACAGTGTAAATATAAAATAAATACAAATATATACAAAATCATTAAATATTATTAATGGGAAGCACTATATAATACAAGGCACAAGCAGATGGTAGGGGAGAGATCAGGAAAGCTTCATGCAGAAAATAATGCTTAAGCTACATCTTAGAGGAAGAAAGGAATTCTATGAGTTAGAGGGAATGCATTCCAGGCATGTGGTGCAGCCAGTGCAAAAGTGCAGAGATGGGGGATGGAGAGCCACCTTCAAAGAACAGAGAGAAGTCCAGTTTGACTGGATCAAAGAAATAGAGGGGGAGCAATGTCCATTGAAACTGGAAAGATAGGTTGGGATCAGGTCTTCAAAAGATAAACAGAAAAATTTATATCTTATCCCAGAGGTAATAAGAGTCTACTGGAGTTGGTTGAGGAAGAGCATCTTAAGGCTGGATCTGTGTTGAAGGAAAATTACTTTGGCAGCAGTGGGTAGCATAGAGTGGAATGATAAGACTTTGAGACACAGAGACAAATTTGGAGGCTGTTGTAATAATCTAGGTAAGAGGTCATGAGGGCTTGAACTAAGGTAGCTAATGTGAATGGAGAGGAGGCAGATGTGAGGGATGTAAAAGCAGAAATAACAATATTTGACAATTGATTAAATATGTGAAGTAAGGGAGAATGAGGAGTCCAGGATAATGCTGAGATTTTAAACTCTGGATGATGGAAGGATGATTCTGTCTTAAGGGTGAAAACAATGCGTTCAGCTTTAGCTATGTTGTGTTTAAGATGTGTTTGGGACAGCCTTTTGAAAATATTCAGTAAGCAATTGGCAATGTGTGACTGAAATGCTCAGGAGAGACTAAGCTGGATGTGCTGATGTAGGTGTAATCTGCATAGAAATGATAGTTAAACTCATGGGAGCTGATGAGAGAGAAAAAAGGAGACAGACAAGAGACAGAGATAGGTGGAGGGAGAGACAGACAGAGAGACAGACAGTGCCTTGAAGAACACCTAGGGTAGAGTTTGGTCCAGTGACGGGAAGAATGAGGTAGCAAAGAACAGTGAGGGAGACCAGTCAGACAGGTAGTAAGGGAGCCAGGAGAAAACAGTCCAGAAAATCCCGGGAGGAGAGAGCATTCAAGAACAAAGTATGGTCAACAGCCAAAAAAAAAAAAAAAAAAAAAAAATTGCAGACGAGAAGATTGAGAAGGATGAAACCCTAGAAAAGGCCATCAGATTTGGCAACTTTGGAGAGAGCAGTTTCAATTGAGTGGGGAGGTTGAAAGACAAACTGCAAAGATTTGAGGGGAGAGAGGAAAGTTAACAATGAGAATCTGTTATTTTGCTTAGGCATGAGATGCAGCTGTTGTGGTAGGTAGCCTGGTCCAGCAAGCCACCAACGCCCCCTTTTTTTTACTCTTCTAGCCAGAGGCACTGTTTGACAAGAGTTCCCAGCAAGTGGCTGCTTCCAGGGAGGTCAGTTGGGGTGGGTGGAAAAGGAGCAAGAGTCCCAGGATGCACCGCGTGGGCCCAGCAACAGCTGTCGTGGGCAGTAGGAGACCACTGAGGTCTGAGTCCTGGTGCAGGTGCTGAGGACTCAGGCGGAGCCCGAGCGCAAGCGGGAGCCAGAGCCAGAGCTGGGTGGAAGGAGATTTCGAGAGCGGGAGCAGCGCAGCCCAGCCCGGGGGCCTGGGCGCGGACCTGCCACTAGTTCGACTCCCCCTTGGCACCCGGCACCGCCACCAGCCTCTGGGGCTCCCGATTCCGTGCCTTCCCCGTGGACAGCCGACCGCATTGCAGGAGGGAGAGTGGGCGGAGAAGGGTCCAGATTGTCCGATTCCGCTATGCCCAATCTTGGAGGGAGGGGAGGAAGGGGAGCGGGGGCAGAAGCTGCAGCGTCCTCTGGCTCGGGAAGCAGACGAAAAACCATGGCCAAGGCGACTCCTGTTAAGGTGAGAGATCTCTCCGCACAACCCCCATCTCCCTAGGATACTCGCAGTGAGGAAGAGACTGGGGTCCAGGAGAGACCCCGGCTCTAGCTTTGCTCAGGCATAGATGAATGAGGGGAGCCTACGACTTTGGAGACTGGGAGAAAAGGGCAATTTGAGGGACACTGCCTAGTAATGGTGTGTGGGTGCATCTTGACAATCCGGGCAACAAACATGAAACCTGTTCTGGCCCAAGCCATTCATGTTAACAGTTGTGAAACTGAGGCCCAGAAGAGGTGAGCCCTCTATTAGCTCAGCTTTTGGGGGCAAAGCTCAAACCAGAACCATGATCTTTAGGCTCTCTGTCCAACCCTCTTTACACTGTGATCTCAAGACAGCCTGGATGGTAGCGCCAAATTTCTCTTTATAGGGAATGAGGATAATAATAGCTAATATCCACTTAGTGCTTTAAAGTTTAATAGTTTCTTTACATATATTATTTCATTCAATGATAAAGAAGACTATTTTGACAGAAATTCTGGTCATGGGAGGCTTAAACTTGTCATACCAGAGGTTTAAGCCTTGGAAGCAACCATTTGCCAGTTACTATAACACTTTAGATAGAAAAAATATAAGCATCTTTGTGCACTACACAAATGGCCTATTTAACAATCTTACCAATTAATCCTATTTCCCTTTTTGCCAGGAGTTCTGCCTCTCCTACCAGCCTTCCCCTCATTTCCATTTCACAAATGGTAAACTGACTGAGATTTCCCTCTCTCTGGCCTACCTTACTGTTTTCATATCCTGAAAGAGCTGTTTTTGCTCTCTCTCTCTCTCTCTCTCTCTCTCTCTCTCTCTCTCTCTCTCTCTCTCTCTCTCTCTCTTTCTCTCTGTGTTTAACCTGGGAAACTGGAACTAGTTTCACATTAGGCATGCAAATATATTCCATTTCTTCCAAACTGGTTAATTCTTTTCTTGTTAAATGTTGGATTTCTTATTCATTTCCCTCTTCTTTGAGGACAGATTAATGATGATTGATCATATCTTTACAGGTAAGATATTAGGCATGTTTTACATATAAGAAACCCATTAATGAGCTATAAGAAGATGAATATTTTGAAACCATACCTTTTTATTACAACTGTCACTTAGCACTGTGAACGTGTTGTGGTCCTGCTGAGATCACTGTACCTCTAGTACTTTTCAGCCAAGGCCTTACACACTAAGGGGCCTGTGTTTCTGTCAATCCTCCTGGGTCCTATTTTGGGCAGCATGACTCTGCTTTGCCATCAGTACTTGCTGCCAACATTTTGCTTGCAGTTGGAAAAAGGTCCCATGCTTTCTTGAAAGATGTATTCTCTAGATGTTCCCCTGGAATGCTTATGTCAAATAATGAAAATAAACACTGAGAAGTATGCATAAAATGTAACTTGAAAACATAGTACTCTATTTTTAAAGGAAAGGCCTTCATAAATAATTTTAAAATATGGCAGAGGCAAAGGAAGATGGAGCAGAGGACTATCTTGGGCCCGAGTCAATCAATCAATAAGCATTTATTAAATGCCCATAGAGATTTTACCACTTAGTGGTGAGAAGCTGTTGTGGTTCTGATGAGATAATTTAATTTTTCTAATTTTCTTCTGCCAAGGCTCTAAATACCAATAGGTCTATTTTTTAGTCACCTAATGGACTTTTTTGACTGTGTGTGTGTGTGTGTGTGTGTACCAGAGGAAGAGAGAGAGAGAGAGAGAGAGAGAGAGAGAGAGAGAGAGAGAGAAATCTGTTCCGATTTTTGTTGCAATTGGAAAAAGATCTCCAGATATCTTAGTTAGATGTATCTTCTCAAGGGGTATGCTGGAATGCTAAAATCAATTTTAAGATGCTAAAAGTATATAATGAGAAAAAACTGTTTTGTAATCCCTTTTCTGATAGGGGTAGTCCTGATTGGTCTTTCAAAAAAATACCACGAAAAAAAGAGGTAACTAGGTGGTGCAATGGCTAGAGTGTTGGGCCTAGAGTCAGGAAGACCTGAGTTCAAATGTGACTCAGACACTTCCTAGCTGAGTAACCTTAGATAAGTCACTTGACCTTTGTTTGCCTCTTTCCTTATCTGTGAAATGGGGATAATAATAGCACCTATCTCTTCAGGGTTGTTGTGAGAATCAAATGAGATAACTGCAAAACATTTAGCACAGTGTCTGGCACATAATAAGTGCTATATGAATGTTAGTTATTATCATGTTTGTGATTCCAGGTGTCTGTGACATTTGATGATGTGGCCGTGTATTTCTCAAAGAATGAGTGGAAGAAACTGAAATGGTCCCAGAAAGAACTTTATAAGCATGTGATGAAGACTAATTATGAAACCTTGATCTCCTTGGGTAAGAAAGGTTCATTATACTTTGAGAGTGATTCTAATGGGATCAAATACTGCTAGTTAGCTCATTTAGCAAACATTTTGAGTAGTAACTATGTGTAAGGCACTATATTAGTTGTTGTAGAGTATACAAAGATGAATTAGCCATTGTCCCTCCTCTCAAGGAGCTTCTAGTCTATGCAGAGAAATGATGTGTACACATTGTGTTTCTAGCCAAACTGTAGATGTGGACTAACACATGGAAATGAAATATTTATTTTCTTGAAATTATCTAAAAATGATGATAAAATCATACTTTATCTTAATATGATTTATATTATTATAATATTATTAATATCAATTCATTGTTTTCAATGGGATCTCACCTATATAATTTGATCATCATACTAAGCTTGTCATGAAGTAGCCAGGCCAAGTATTAGCTCCTGGGGGGAACCTGAGGCAATGAGGTTGAACCTTGATTTATATACTTGTGGTTAGACAAAGAGTCAAACAGTGTAGTATAGTAACAGTGGTGAGGCACAATAGCAACAGTGAAACAAGGTTGTCTAGTGACAAAAAGTCCATTCATAGCAGGGCTTCATGTCTGAGCCTGTTGATGCTTGCCCAAGCTCAGGGATCATCAGTTCCAAAAGGTGAGTGCAAAGGATTGTTGTTAGGCCAAGCTCAGGGCACAGCTTGCTTGCTGGGCCTTAGCTCTGGAAAACAGGGTGTCTCCTATTAGTATCTTGACATTTCCCTCTTTTGGCCAAAGGGAGGGGGTCTGAAAGAATCCCTACCCTTCTGACCAATAAACCTGAGGCAGGTTTAAGTCAAGATGCCAGGAGAGACCAGTTGGGCCAGGACAAGATGTTGAGTTGAATAGGTCTTGTCAAGCCATTGTTTGCTTGAAAGGAGAAAAGAAAGGGAGGCCAAGAATGTAGAGGGGGAAATGCCAATACATACTTGAATTAGGGCCTTTGGTGGTCAGGCACATAACAAAAGGGAAGAGGGAAAAAAAAAAAAACTAGGTCAGCATACTCAGCCCTCATCTGGAATCTTGGGACAACTGTCTTATCTGGATGTTGGCTGCTTCTGACTTTATACTAGATGAACCTTGAGGTCCCTGGAGGGTTTCGCCATCCACTTAGGAGCAAGGGTTTTCTTCAGATAATCCAGGAGTCCACACCCACAAGTTTGGCAGCTGTGGGGTAGTCAGGAGGACCTGGTAGGGGCCCTTAGCTTGAGATGTACAATTGTGAGAAAACTCCTAGCATTAATCTTTAGATCTGAGTTTCTGGTTAGCATTCATGGTTAAAGGTCTCTAAATAACACAAAGAGATGGTCCAGTTTCCCAGCCACACAGGGCTAGTTTCAAACAATGCAATAAGGTTTTCTCACAATTCCCATAATTGCATAATTACATTAAGTCAGGTCACATTAATGTCATATTACAGATCAAACTCCTTAGAGGGCTCACAATAGACTAGTTTTGGGAGATTTACATGTCACCAATATAACCAAGAAAACTTAAACATAAACATCTTAAAACAAAAGACCAAAGCAATACAATAGTTATCCCTAGTATTAATTAACATCAAGTCTTCTCATATCCTAGTGACCCATTCTCAATATCCATTTAAGCAGCACATTTTGAGTCCCGGATGTCTCATGTAGTTGTCTGGTCCCTAGATATCTTTTCTTGGACAATAGACTTTATTCTCAGGACAACTGTAAAGGGGGCTCTGCTTTTCCAGAGCTAGAGGTTCCTAGATAATTCTGACTTAATATAATTTAGTACAATCACTTAAATTTGGCTCTTCAATCTTAAAACTTCAGAGAATTTCAGTTTATATATCATTTGCTGTTTCTAGCCATACCTAAATCCTGTACCTAATATAAGAATTTTTTTTTTTTGTATGAGGCAATTGGGGTTAAGTGACTTGCCCAGAGTCACACAGCTAGTAAGTGTTATGTGTCTGAGGCTGGATTTGAACTCAGGGCCTCCTGACTCCAGGGCCGATGCTCTATCCACTGTGCCACCTACCTGCCTCAAGAATCTTCTAAAAATTTATGAAAGTCCAACCATAAAATGAGCTCTTCTGCCTTTTAAAATTATCAAATACTTTAATAAAGGGAAAATAATTTCACTTTCTTTATCATTATCCATACAATTTATATATAAAATCTTAATCCAATTTTGAGAATTTATTACTAAGACACACTCAAAACCTGAATTTCCATGATAGATAAATTTGGAAGGCAATCATACAGTCCTTTCTTTCTCAAAATTGACAATTCAATTTATTTAGAAAGCTTTTTTACATTACATCTTTGTCTTACTACTGTGTCTAATCATTTCTCCTTTAGGATATCATCCCTATATTATAATTTGACCACAAATAAAGATTAAAATTATAAGATGTTCATACTTGCATCCTGTTATAATAACTCAGATGTTCCAGTATCAATCTATTGTTTAATAGATTTAGTATTGTAGTTACAAAACTTCACTATAGAAATTTGCAATAAAAGGAAAAGAGCGACATAGTTATAACAATGTCATATATCATAATGGAATAGGGGGAAGAAACTCCCTTAGTTCTGTTTGATTCCAGTCCGGAGTTATATCTGATAGCCAATCATATAGGCACAGAGTGTTAAAAGTAAGGCTCAGGATTAACCAGGTAGGGAATTTTGCTTTTCAGAAAGGAAATAACACAATGTGGAAATAGAGTCAGGAGGATCCTACCTAGACCGAAGGTCATCCCCAAAACTTTTTCCAGGTACAAACATCCACCTTTAGCAGTTCCCAGATTGCAGCAATGCCATTTTCTACTATTGGCTTCATGACAATTCAGACAACTATCCCTGTAATCAAAGCTCTAAACAATAGTAAACTGCCGTCCCAAGAATTTTTATCTTAAATACCAAAATTTCACTAACCACGACTTAGGGCTTGAATATCTTTCCTGATATTTCCCTAACAGTTAGCATTTCATTTATCCTTTACTTATAAATTAAAACTATCCATATTCTGGAGCTTCAGACATACAGCAAATACCTGATAGTTGATTCATCATTAATATATTGAAGCTACATTTTTAAACCACCCTATACACTTTCATAATAGCCAAGAATTTAAAATGAAAATTTGCTATTATGTATTATTATCTGCTTTATAAAAAATATACCTCATTAAATATTTTAAAATTTTCAAGTATCTATTTTTATCACATCTTTTAAAAAGCTCAATTCACGTGTAACAGCATCTAGATTAAAAAGTTGTTTAGTCTAACAGCATTTCTGTTACAATGGTCTCTCAAATTTCACAATATAAGAGAATTTAGAAATACAGTAATAACACAAACAATATTATGTATTTAAAACATGAAACAAAACTTCGGATGACATCCATTGCATTTCCAAATTATTCCATATAAAAATCATTAATCTTATTACCTTTGGCATTTTAAAAACACTTTAGAGTTATCAGGAATGGAACAATTACATTCAACTAAAGAAATAATGTAGTGCTAAACATATGCCAGTGACTATGTTAAACACTTTATAATCATTATATTACTTTGATCTTGCAAAAACCCTGGGAGATGGGTATCATTATTATTTTTCTCTTTGGAGATCAGGAAACTGGGGCAAACAGAGATAGGATAACTTGCTTTAAATTACACAACTAATAAATTTCTGCAACCAGAATATAATTCAAGTTTCCCTACATTTTTCCAGCATTTTTTTTTAACACCTGTATTTGGGAATCTGATCTGATATGAGAGGTGTTAATACAGAGAGGGAGAGGGAGGAGTTACAAGAGATCTTTGGTTTAAACAATCTTTTCTCTTTTCATAATCAGACATATCAAGGAAGGGTTAGCAAGAGATTGCTGTAAGGTGCAAACCATTTACCTCATTTTTTTTCTTCTTCATTCTGGCATTACTTCCAAACTAGCTGCCTTTCTTCTTTGCCTGAGAACAATGAGTCTATTAATTGTGTCATTTTTTTTTATAAAACTTTTATAAAATCTAATCCTTATTTTTCCTTAAAACACATTCTACAGAGTGATACCTCAAAACTTACTAAGTTATTTCAGAAGGGAGTGAGCTCCTGGAATTACCCCAAATCCCAGGAATTCTCCTCTGCAGTCTTAAAATGATTAATCTTCAAACCTCTAAAATATGCAGAGATGTTTTTAGCAGTCAAATTTTCATCATCTGACTTTCTTTTCTTATTACCTAATCTCCCATGGAACACCTAAAGAGGGAGTTAGTCCTGCTTACTGGGGCAATTGCTTCAAGTATGAAAGTTCATTAATCTTTCCCAGTGTTCTAAACTCTTCAGCTACAACCCTTAGAAGTTTTTTTAAATCTTTCAAGGTAACAGAAACTACAGACATTTTACATTTTACAAAGACACAAAGACAGACAAAACAACAAGACAGATACAAACAGAACAAAGTATGCAGTCACAGTCCACACAGAGGCACACAGTTAGAGATGTGCAGTTTCAACTTTATAGAGGCATGCAGTTTAAAAAAATAACAGAAGCATGCAGAGGGATAAGAGACATGTAGTTACAATTGTACAGAGGTATGCAGTAAAAAACCAAAAACAAACAAACAAACAAACAAAAAAAACAAACCAGGAGAGGCCAGTTAATAAAGATGTGCAGTTTAAGAAAGCATATTCTTACCAGAGTGATCTGAAATGAACTGGGTCACTGGACAGGCCTTGGAGTCTGTTTTTTGTTTTTGTTTTTTGTTGTTTTTTGTTTTTTTTTCCACAAAGAATGGTGAGCTCAACCAAGGTGGGAACTCAAGATCGGAGGAGAGAGAAGAATGGAGGACTCACCAGATTGGGAGTAGGAGAGTGGGGTTAGACTCCACAGAAATAAATCTCCAGTGGTGCCTAATTCGTTTCCTCTAGTACTGGAGAGTCCAGTGGCCTGGTTCCATGTCCAATCCCACTTCTGACAACAATTAATATAAACCAGACTGAACAGGCTTCTAAC